TTGGAAATAAAAAGACTGGTTTAAAATATCGCATGGGGAGAGCTAACGTCTGTGAAAAGAGACAGCCCTTTGTTCATAATTGCACAGTGCTTAGTCTAAAATAAGTATCTTAATCGAGATGGTCCTATTTTTGTTATGGACCAGTGGTGGGGGAGTGGCCAGCCATACCAGCTCTTAAAGATAATCAAATCCTGGGGCTACGTTTGCTACGTTGCTACGTTTCAACCCAGAATCGCACTCCACATCCTAAGGTAATCCGTTTAGTCTTTCGGATCATAGATGGTATGTTTCAATCGAGAATGTAAAGATCAGTGCCGGATTTACCTGAGGTCTTCATCTTCCTCTGGTCGTGGGGTTTGGAGAATAGCCTTGGACCTCTCTTCATCTAGAAAGTCGCGGTGGCTCAGTGAGTATGACTTTGGCTCACTAACCTCTAGTTCCCATGTGCGATCCAGTTGTGGGCCAAGGAAGTTCATCGGGATTGTCCGGGTGTGCTTCCCCCTTTTCAGTGGTGTAGGACAGAGGGCTTTGCAAGTGACAACGTATAGTTCTTCAGATGGGACGAGAAACCGAGGCCCCGTGTACTCATTGGCGTGGGCGTAAAGGAACCCTTGACAGTTGAAATTCAATATAAGAGTAAGTCGTAGCGCCTCTGTTCGGACAACAATTCCCTGCTTAAAATGTTTCAATGGCATTTAGTAATTGAACTAGAGTATACAGGTCACAATTCTATGGAATACAATTACTGCTTTTTACTGAGCGACGTTTCGACAAGGCTTCTCTAGTCATTATCAAGCTATGATAAAAAATGAAAATATGACAGGACAATATATACATGTACACAACAATGCTTAGTTAATGCTGACAAACCAGGGATCTAACTTAATGACGTGTACCTAATGGTAATCTGATTAAATTAAACGCTAATAAGTAATAATACCAATTAACCTAAAAATTGACTAATTGATTAATGGATAAGTTGTTGTGGAGTATACACAATGATTAGTGGGTTTTAATAATACAAACGTTGAAAGAAAATGAAAATTGATGAAATGTTATCAACGACCCCTTTCACTGAAATAAACACAAATGATAAAGGAAATAGATTGGCGTGTGTCTTTCTTCATTTCCCCAATCGGTGCAGAAAAGCAGGACTTTAAAGCACATTTTATTTCATTTCATTTCAGCTATAGTCTTGATAGGCTGCAGACAAGGACTTTCCTCTCTCCTCTCCCCCTCTTCATCTAAATCCGACAATGGCAAAGATAATACAGTTATTATACATTATAACAATGCGTGCTCTAGTAATGTTCCAGCATAGTAAACGATCCCTCTAGAACATTAAAACCAACAGATTAATTCTGGTTTGGTTGTTAACCACTAATATAAACATTTACTTTTCCTGAATCATTCCATTAGTTTATTCGTAATAAATACAAAAATGTTAAAATTAATTATTTCTGTGTGTAGGAGTCTCCAAAGGGGGAAATGCGATGGGCAAATGGTCCCTTATCAGGAGCGCTTTGATTGTCTGGTGTGTTTTGAATGTCTTATAGGTAAAGTAAAAAAAAAGTGCCCTTTCTGAATCGACCCCCCCCCCCCTCCCCTTCTCTGGCGCTTTCCTTCAAAATTTTCGGTACCCGAGCTTGTAAATATCTGATATTGGCTCCAATTGGCCCTGTAACCATATTTCCTTTCAGAGTTGCGCATCAATAATTAACGGATTTCCAAGATGTCGGCGATTACTGGGTTTCAACTTAGTCACTAAGTCTTAGTGGATTATTTATTTGTATGGAAATCGCAAAATAGTTTTACATGGGTTTTACTTACTCGGAGATTATATCATTTTCCAAAAGATTCTTCGAAAGCTTGGACTTCGTCGGAACAACTCTCGTTGAAGTACAACGGGATAAAAAGAGCAGTTGAACAGGAGCTAAGTGGAACAAGGCAGAACTTTGGATACCGGACAATGCAACTTGGATTAAAGCAAAAGTATCATATATCTATCGCCAGCCATTCGCTGACACGCATAATGCGTCATTTAGACCCACAGGGTGTTCGACGGAATCTGCATATATATAGACGGCTGAATCTTAGACAGTATCAATCAAGTGGACCAAACAACCTTTGGCATATAGAAGGATGGGACAAACTAAAACAGTTTGGCATGTGTATACACGGCTGCATAGTTTTTTACTGCGATTATTGTGGTTGGAAGCTTCTACCACTAACGATGACCCTTATGCTATCTGCAGGTATTTTGCCATGTGTGTATGAACTCTTGGCGGTGTGTCCCAAACGAGTCGAGCAGATATGGGCACAGTAAATGTCAAAGTTGAGGATATACAAGAATAGAACCTCGTTTATTTATGGTAAATCAATAGGAAACCAAAGAATAGAAAGATAATGGAGTAAGTTCGGATTGTATGGCATGAGTTCGTGGATTTCTCATTTCAGGAATTTTTCCAATTATGGTATAATCAATACGTCTTAAAAAAAATGGACATTCAATGTGTACTTCTTCGTTATATCCACCTCTCATATATTTCTGTAAATAAAACGAGTTAATTCTGCATGGAGGACGCTTAGGACCCGTTGTTAATGGCCCAGTCAACTATGTTGTGAAGCCCTGAGGAAGTTTTTCAAAGACATACCAACGCGCAGTTGTGTGGGGTTGGGAACGAGGTTATTCCTACTAATATAAGCTGGGTTCTTGAATAATTGTGGATCGTGACCATTATCAACATTATAAGAGCCCATAACCTCTAACCCACAATATTGTAGGTTGAAATAATAGTATTATCACAGCACGAACAACAATGCCGCTGATGGGCGTGTGTTACATTGACTGGAAAGCAACGTTTCTAATAATTCGCAACATGAAAGTGCTTGCAAGGGTGCGCATCTGCTCTGGGCATGATGATGAAGAGGAATGGGGAAAAGAATTGTTTCCGTAATATCAACTGTTTGGTGATTATATAGAGAATCTCCTACCAGTCTTTTTTGATATCAAAAAATATCAACACAAGTTGATAAAGTAACAAAAAACGAGGCTCTGCCGAGTTTTTTTTACTTTATCAACGAGTGTTGATATTTTTTGATATCAAAAAAGACGAGTAGGAGATTTTATTTATCACTCAAACCCTTCTTACATGCACAAATAGATAAATATAATTCTTTGCTATAGATTTCACTTTTACTGAACATTACGGCATAGTGATACATCATTTTGTGACAGCAATTAAACCATTGCAAAGTACTTTATATTGGCCCAGTGTTTCCATCAAGGTCAATTGAATAACAATGGTTAATTTCTTTTTTAAAAAAAGTTACATTTTACAAGAAATGAACTGTTATTTGAAAATAAAAAAAGTAGTTCCTTTTCAACTGATTATGAAATATATCACACAAGCGATATCTACTGTAGAATGTATTATTGGGTGATAAATGATTAGTATTACATGTATTTAGAAAACAAGAAGAAAAAGAAAAAATACGCTTGTCTGGAGGACGCTTAAAACCCGTTGCTATATAGGCCCAATATATGTTGTGAAGTTCTGAGGTAAGTTTTTCAAAGACATATCAACGCCCAGCTGTAGGTTGAGATGAAAGTATTACAGCACGAACCACGAGGCTGCAAGGAGACGTGTGCTACCTTGACTGGGAAGCAACGTTTGTAATAATTTGTAACATACAAGTGCCTGTAAGGATGGACTTCTACTTTGGCCATGATGATGATCATCATCATTGGGAGGAGGAGGAGAAGGAACGAGGAAAGGAATTGTTTCCGTAATATCAACTGTTTTGTAGATTATATAATTAGATATATAATTATTTAGAAAACAAGAAAACGGAGAAAAAGAAACATGTATGACCTATCTCCAAATTTAGATACTTTTAGTACATTACAATAGATACAATGCCCTATCGAAAAATTCTATGAAAGTCTTTACACATAAAATTACAAGAACGGTAGTTGTTAAAAAAATCGGGAATTTTGACAAAGCAAATAAACACATGGTCAATAACATGATATTTCTCAATAGTTCAATAAAATATTTCTGATCATTTATTTGGTTTTTCAATTAGGTTATCTCTGATCTGCAGAGCAGAAACAATATCATAAAACCATAAACATGTTTATAGTTTCTATGTACACGACAATTCCGCTCTTAAAAAGCCGAAGTGGAATGACCTAACCAGAGAAGGAAACCTATGAATATCCAAAGAACATCGAGACATAAATCTCAGACACTATTAGCGTTGTAAAAATGAGAGAAGAAATAATGTAACAGTCTGCGATATCATTTCGGTGATAGCGGACGTTAAATACCGCTATGTCACACAAGGCGTTAATCACTTTGACGTCAACTGTCATTTGTTTGGGGTTTTTTTTAAAAAGAAGAGGTATATTTTGGGAATTATTGGTATCATATTGAACCATTAAATCGCTTTATCCCAGAGGGCTGGGAGGCCGAATGGTGTAACGCCGTCGCTTTAGGTCATAAGGTCTGCCAGTGTGGTTTCTATCCCAGACTTGAAAGTGACAAAGTTTAAGGTCGCCTGAACGTGACAAAAATGAAGGTAGTCTGTCTAAAGTAGTGAGTGTTCACTGGGTCCTCCAGTTTCCAACCACTGCACAAGACCCCTCTCTCTCTCTCCTCTCCACCTCCCCACCCCCTCGTATCATAGATCGAAATAAATTGTTTCTTTTGCGTTTGACCATGAATAAGCCGATATATTTACAAATATTGGAATAGTCAATTGTCTGCATCATAAATAAACCGGAAATTTAGTTATTTTTTTCTTATTATTAGCCAGTTTTGTTCAATGATTTCTCTCATTGTGTCGTCTGCTGTTAATTTCTGGTTGCCGTAGAAACCAATATATCGATAAAGGAATCTAGATGACATTTGTGAGTTTTGGATCCACGTTGTTGGCACTGAACGCCGACTTCAAGTCACGCGTCGGGCAGAAATCAATATTAGTGCTGTATGTTACTGCGATGTATTGATGGCTGAGATAGGATAAATAATAATAATAATAGTTTGGTATTTCCTATACATGTCTTGGATGATGAGGATTGTCGTGTGATTAGGGGGTTGACATCCTGTTCTCTTGTTTGATCGGATCTGTGTCGTCTAAGTCTTTTGCTACCGTTTCCTCCGAAGCAGAAGGCAGCATGATGAAGGCAGTAAACGGACATTCGCGGTCACAAATGTCGGGATCTTTGCGTCAATTCTGGAAGGATTTACTGTCAAATGAGAAACTAGAGTCGGCTATGCTGAGATTGAAGGAGACATCATTGATACAGACTCTTAAATTAATAGGGTAGGTGTGTTTATTATTGTTTGATCAATGCAAGCTCCCAAATTGAAAAACAATAACATTCAGCCAGTATTTATTTAATTAATGGCACCACTCGAAAACATAGTGCGTTTTCTACCATTAGAGTTTGTTAATACAAACCGTTATTGATCAGATTTATAACTGAATAAACCTCACAAATGACAAGCTAAGATGTCGGCATTTAGAACTATTATTGGTGTTTCTAAAACTAAAGAGCGCCCCCATCCCCACCCTCAATCACCCAGTCTCACGACTGCGAGTTTTAAATACAATTGGGCAAAGCCAAGAATGATGACGGATGTTTAAGACAACAGTGTATCTAAGAAAGGCGTATGACAGTATACTGGCCGGAGACACTCTATATTTTGAGGTCCTAGGATTCGGCACTGGGTAAACATGCATACTGCTTCTAATAACATCTAGAAGTGGGATTAAGTATACACAATAAGATACACGTTATATAAATAATTGTCTGTTATTTAATGATCTTGTTTTCGTATCACATAAAGATAACGCCGGTATTGGTCAAGGTTTACCTAGGATCGATCCCGGTTTTATCACCGTAGCGCAATCGGCCCAAATATTGGGAAGGTGCAGTGAATTGGGCTTAATTGACTTATTACGAAACGTTTTTATTCAATCAAATAACAGAGAATTTGTTATATCCATACATGTATGTATATACAATGTGTAGTTAAACAATTATATCCATATATACTCTTCAAAAAAAGTAGAGGATATTGAAATGCAAATACCTATGCAGGTTGTGATATGATAAATAGTTATGGACACTTGACATGCTTGAGAGTATGTTCACAGATGAAGAACTTATCGCCCCAACAGAACCACTGAGCTGCATGTGCGACACAATAGCGTCATACACATTGTCAGATTTGACACTTCAAGAAAGGGTTGATGAAAGCTGCCGCTTGCTGGTTTATCCTATCCATGTTTGCCTTCCTATCGGTTCTTGCATAAGATTTACTGTTTAGCGTATCTTTGCTTTGGTGTGTTACGTTTAATTTGATCGGGAGACGTGTTCGTCGACGTCAACGCCAACCGACAACACTGCAAGAATTGACCGTGGCACTGCAAGAGGAGTGGGTCAGATTGCCCCAAATGGTGATTGGACGGTTGATTAGGAGCATGCCACGACGAATTGCTGAATGTCTGAGGATTGGTAGAGCAATTACTCATTATTACGACAAAAATCAAAAACGTCCATTTTCACTTTTGACAGTGTATCTCTTTGCGAGTGAAAGTGTAGGTAATTGGCCTGTTATTAACATACACTGGTTACCTATAATAAAAACAGCAGGGCATTTCCGCAGTTTTGTATTGTTTCTGAATATCCCCTACCTTTTTGAAGAGTATATATACTAACAGAGAAGTCATTATATCCATACATGTAATTACCATCTTTAAAGGAGCTAAATCGCTAATATTTGGGACCTGGAAATTGGCACAAATGGGTCGCAACGCATATAATAATATAATATGAATGTATATAAACTGATTTACATTCAATCATTTCCGTTTTACTCTAATTTCAAATCGACGAAATACGCCAAAAGTCTCAATCCAATGGCAATCTCTAGCGTCCGGTTATTCCAGTCTACACCGATAGTATTACTCTAATTTCAAATCGACGAAATACGCCAAAAGTCTCAATCCAATGGCAATCTCTAGCGTCCGGTTATTCCAGTCTACACCGATAGTATTTATTGCGCATGCTCCCAACATAAGAATATAGGGTCACCGTTTGACATGACTTGTGGAATATGTCTAGCTTCATTCTTCGAGTCCCTTGTTAAACTTGTTACAAATGGCGCTGAAACGCATTATGGTACACGATTCGTGTACCAATGGCAAAATGTTTATTTTGTCTTAAATATTGGATATCGGAAGCCCATCTTTTTACGGTAAGATCACAACATCTATGTTGATTTAAATTGACTAATAATTCGTGTTTTCAATGTCGAAGACTTTGGATGATATTGAGTTAGAGACTTAGCTACCTTAAATAACAGAGAAGTCGATTGTCTGAGCCAATTCACATTCAATATATCGCAAGTCCATTCAGACGTTCTTCACCCATCGTGATTCTCAATGCTGAAGGTCCGCTCGACTTGGGCCGAGCTTACTGGAATAGTCATCAACATTCTATATAAAGTGCGGACATTCGGGTAAGCCCATTGTCTACGATATCACCCTTGGTGAAAGTGGACGTTAAACTCTAGAAACGAACGAACGGATGGGTAAGCCCTATCAATATCATTTGACACTCTAGAGGTCACAATGTTTATCCGATTTGTGATTATAACCCAAAGATCTCGCTTCCTGTCGACATTGGCGCATATCGAAACGTAACTTCTTGGTTATGGCTCCACTGTACGAAAATGGCTTTGTAGCATATTGATAATAATAATAATGAGGTTTTATATAGCGTCTTCTCCATATTGACACATGCTCAAAACGCTTGTATAGTAATGGCTCTACTGGTAAAATTGTCGAAACGGGAAAGTCGTTAGTGTGGATTTAAATTGATTAAAAGTCTGTTGATGTTTGATCTGTTGTGGAAGTTCATTCCATAATCTGAAGGACCTATACCCATATTGCTTTAAGTTATGTCTCGGAACAACTATAGTGACTGTTTATTTTTTGAGATCTAATAAGGGTTGTAGTCATATTCTTCGTCCATCTTTTACAAAATACGGGCATATCTTCTTGCATGGAAACCGCTTGTTTTAACTATTATAACGAAAGCTGTCCGCTCTTTATCGACATCTTACTTAATGCATCTTTAAATGTTAAATAATCAATCTGAGTACATATATTAGCTTGGATTAGGTCGTGAGAAATTTGTAATTATAGCGAAAAAATGAAAATGACTCATCGTTACTTTAATTAGATTGTCACTAATACGTTTAGTATGTAAATGAACGAAATAATAGAACATAGGCGTCCATTTTTCGGGCATTTCGGGTTCTGTCTGTCATCGAGGCGGTACGTCTATGGTTTAACGTCTTACTTTTCTGCTCTTACCAGGATAATGAAGCCGTAAAAATCCCATGTTGATTTGATGTAGTGAGTTCTCCTTTAATGTACAGATTACTGATTAACACAATCTTTAATGTAGCAGATCTCCTTAAAGTTAATTAGTATTGAACTGTTTAAACACCTGTTCCAATTACATTAAATACATATACGTCTATATTGATTTCTGTACAATCGGTTGATTCTCATTCCATATCTAGCTATTTAATTAGGAGGGGGGAGGTATTGATTCTAGTTCATCAAAATGTAGGCCTGTGGAGACAAACTTATAAAAAAGAATAATCGCCAAAAATATTTCACCAATTTACCTTTACACGACTGTTTGATATCGTTTGTAAACTTTGGTTAGCCCGTATGTATCAGAAAAGCAGGACGTTAAACTCGATTTTATTCATTCATTCTTCTAAACTACGCCGACTAGGGAAAAGTCGTCATGATCTGTCCCGCTATGTGTTCAACACAGCCTCTTGTTGTCCTTCTTAACAAGATTCAACCGTAATCAGGAAATTGATTTGTTCTAGCATCAGTTCGGTTGTCGGTTTGATCACACGATTGGACGTGACAAGGAGTAGAGAAAGCATGTCTAACTTTGTGAATTTTCTCCTATACATGGTGGGGATTCCTCCCAATGCTTAAGAACCCCAACCGCAAACAAATTATTGAAACAAAGAATTATCTTACCCAGAATGGCCCGAACTATCTGTATTTAATTTCTTATTCATATTATTCATCTATTGTTCTATGTAATTCTGTTATTGTAACACCTATCATGTCCATGGAATGTTATTAAATCAAATTTCTAGTTTTGCGTCTGGTCCTTAATGGCGAAAACAAAGTAATACCATTGTCAGAACATATATATGTAGATCAGGATGTCAAACTAAAATATTACATCAAGAGGACCGGAGATATACAAAAATATCAAGATAAAGAAAATTTTATTGATTTATTTGACAAATATCGTTACATATTATATTACAATGCAATACATAAAATTATACATATTTAGATATTTATACATACAGTACAGAAGTCTTACTGAAACCGGAAAACGACAATAAATGACTTCCATTTAAACCCTTGGAGGGACGGATCTGTCCTACGGGCCGCATGTTTGACCCCTCTGATTTAGATGTTCCAATCCGACCCCAAAAGGGTTGGCTTGCCGAATGGTATCACACGGTCTGTCATTGAGACAACTGGTGGGGTTTCGATTCCCCGGTTGTACGTGACAAGGAGTAGGGTCGCCTGTCCAACCTCGTGGATTTTCCCCGGGTCCTCCGGTTTCCTCCCACTGCTAAAGACCCCTACGCGCAAGCGAATTATTGAAATAAAATTGAATCATATGTTAGTCCGGAAATGGCCTAGTTTGTGTCGAGTGGACGTTAAACCCATTTCTCTCTCTCTCTCTCTCTCCACCTCTCTTTCCGACCGCGAAATGCCCTACACAGCCACATTTTCTGTTTTACTTATTATTTATATTATTCATATTCTCCATCCATTGGTTTATTCAATTCTTTTATTCTAACATGTAATGACCATGGTTTATTTTGTTCAAAATTAAGTTTGTAGTTTTGCGTCTCGTCTTTAATGTCGAATAAGAACATTGTCAGAACATTTTGATGCTCTCATCTGCCTTCCATATTAATTATATTATTCACTCATTGATATGTGCAATTATCTTATTCCAGGATCTATTATGGAAATGATTAAATATTTTCTTAACAATTAAATTTGTAGTGACATCAAGTTAAAGCTATTAAAGATGCATAAAAGATTTATACAAAGGGGGATCATTCTTACTATAAAAGTTGAAAAATAGATAATAAAAAATTAATATATTGAAAACTGTAGCCAAATTAACCTATTCTGCATGAGCGAAGATATCAGTTTTTGAAGTTTTCACAATATAGTCTCGGTTTGTCAAGTACCATTGTTAGGGTAATAAACAAATCTCAGTTATTCATTTTTAAATTAGAGTATTAAATGGAAAGTGGTTTAATCCCCTGCTTCAAGATATTTGTTATGTGAATAATAAATTTTAAAAAAAAACTGCAATAGGAAGATTTAGCTCTAACATAATACGCCTTTAACAAAACAACATCTAGAACTTATAGGCGCTCCATTTCGACTCTGATACAATTTCTGGCTATTCTTGCTCTATTTTTTTTCGCTTTGTTATAAAATTAATTTACTCAGTGATGGTTCGACATAATCTGATCCTAGCGGAAACATTAGAAACAGCTAGCAAGCTTGTCAGGTACAGACTGCTACAAGCTCTTCGAATATAAATCCTTTTATAGTTGCCAATAAGACATCATATTTCCCATGTAAAACAAGTAAATTGTATCTTGCACTTAATTAGCCAATCCAGGAAATGAAATGGGGTTTAACGTCCTACTGTTCTACTCCGATTGGGCTAATGGGGACGGGCATATGCCAATGCAGTGCGCTATGAGAGAAATTTTACCCGGATAGCGGCACTACGGCCTACTCTTATTTCGAATTCCAAATGTCAAGGGTTCTTTTAAGTGCACGCCAATGAGTACACGGGACCTCGGTTGTTCGTCTCATCCGAACGACTATAATACTTTGTCCCTTGTCAGGCCCTCCGTCTTACATCACTGACAAGGGTAAACCACGCCGGAAAACACCGATGAACTTTCTCGGCCAACGCAGGGATCGAACACGGGACCTCTAGGTTAACGAGCCAGCGTCCTACTCACTGAGCCACCGTGGCTACCGGAAATTCAGGGCAGAAGTGGGACGTTAGTTATTCTGTTTGGTAAGTTACTCGTTTGGAGAAAGGAGCATCCTAGTTTTTTGGACAATTGTGCAACAAATTTGAAAAGATGCCACAATTCCAAGATGGCGGCGGTAACGTCACACTCGGTTTTTGGTCCATATAGTATTCCGGGGGTTTTTTTTATGGCGGGTTGGGGGGGCGTAAATTTCTGAAGTTGATGGAGTTTACCCTGTCTGTTTCTAATTAATTTGTGGCTGTCAGGTATGTTGTCGATGAATTGACATGAATGATATATATTGCCCCGAGATATGGCGTCCGTGATATGGCGACAGACAATATCTGTGTAGTTCCTAATCCAATATTGTTAGAAAAGGAACAGATATGTCTGCTTACTTAATGAAGTGAAGACTGTTTAATATCACTGTAGATCATGTAAACGACAACGACATATATTATGTTCTACATAACAGGAAATTCCCTTTAAGCCAGGTAATAACAGAATGTCTTTAACAACGAGAACGAGCTAAGCTGACAATCTATAGCCTTCAGGGGAGCGTTTACTGTGATAATTAAAAGAGCTGGTCAAATAACCAAAAGGCAGATTGTGTGACGTCAGATATAATTGTGCACCACAACTTTGTCATTCACTTACTTTGCATCAATTTATATTCTTTGATGAATCTTATCAGTCTCGTTTCAGTTTATTTCAAAGGACATAGAAAATCTGTTCTTTGCAAGCCCGTTTAATTTGTTTTCAAAGAAATGCAAATAAGAGATTAGTTTGTGGTTTTATTTCGAAGGTCTTTGCATGACGACTTTCCTGTTTCACAACATTTTAAAATAAAATCTTTTTTGACTAGAATCTATAGTCCCCAAGCAAGGGCTGCTCATCTTGTTCTTGGGGGCGACGTTCCTAAAAAATAAACTTGAAGCTCCGCCAGTTTAAGTACGATCGACAAGAAACTTGGCATGCGTTCCTAGGAAAACTGCAGATCGATTGACTGTCTTTGGTTTTTGATATGCCCGTACAATTCCAAGATGGTAGCGATGACGTCATGAAATGAAATGGGGTTTAACGTCTTACTTTTCTGTTCCGAGTGTGCTAATGAAGACGATGATAACCACGTCCATTTAGTAGCCTGCTATTGTACTTGTTTCTTTGGAATTTTTAAATGTCCAAGATTTATAAACAAAATCGAGTCATCTTTAAAAAGCTTTCGACCTAAAGCAATCCATCTATTATAACCATAAAAGAATCCATTAGAGGATTTCTTCTACAGACAGAATATAAGATAGGTTGAACTGGTCGATAGAGAGCACCACATATCATCGTTCCCTAAACCTAATTATATGTAGAAATTGAAACTCGAAGATTTTTATTTATCGGATGCTATAACTTTTGTGATGGTAATAAAAGAGATGACGATTTATTTGTCTGTTATTCAACAATGAATATTTTTTATTTTGTCGATTCTAGGGGATCATGTTAGAATCATGTTTTAAATTGAATTTATTTGTTATCTTGTTTTTTTTTCTATTGTGAGTTTGTTTTTGATTTTTACTGAATCCTGTATTCATTGCCCGTATTACGAATTCAAATTGTCATTGTTTTTTTTATGTGCATACCAATTTGTATACGGGATCTCTTTTTTTCGTCCCATTCTTCCTAGAAGCTGACAAGAGGAATTCACTCCGGAAAATCCAGATGAACTTTCCGTATTACGAATTAAAATGGTCAAGGGTTCTTTTATGTGCATACCAATTTGTATACGGGACCTCGGTTTTTCGTCCCATTCTTCCTAGGAGCTGACAAGAGGAATTCACTCCGGAAAATTCAGATGAACTTTCTCGGTCGATACCATGACCGTACCAGTGCCTTAGGCTACAAACTGAGCCACTGTGACTCCCTAGTACATATTAAGGCCATCGATATTAAAACACAATACGTGTAGATTATGTGAAACATATAAAGCAAATTCATTTGAAAGTTCTTTATGTGGCAAACACTGAAACATCTGCCACAAGATAAATGGATGACACTATTTCTGTTTACTGGCTACTCAGCTTTTTCTAAACATTCAATTTAGACTGAAATAATTCTCATTTAGAAAATTAAAAGTTTTATGTTCATAAATCATAAAGTGAGAGGCCAGAATCAGTGAGTGACAGAGAGAGAGAGAGAGAGAGGGGGGAGAGAGGGAGATAGAGAGATTTTATTTAAATAATTCGCCTGTGCGTATGGGTCTTTAGGGGGAATCGAAACAATGCTTCTCAACTAAACAGAAATGAAATGGGGTTTAAAGTCCTACTGTTCTGCTCCGAACATGGCTAATGAAGACAGGCATACGCCATACAGTGTGCCGTGAGGGAAATTTTGCCCAGACAGCGGCACTACGGCCTACTGTTATCTCAACTTCCAATTGTCAAGGGATCTTTTATGTGCACGCCAATGTGTACGCCAATGTGTACACGGGACCTCGGTTTTCCATCCCATCCTTGTCAGGCCATCCATCCTGCATCACTGACAAGGGGAAACCACTCCGCAAAATCTGAACAAACTTTCTCGGCCAATGCAGGGATCGAACACCCGACCTACAGGCTAGCAAGCCAGCGTCTTACCCACTTAGCCACCTTGACCCCCTCAACTAAACAGACCTTATAGTTTCACTTACAGTTTCAGTGTTTAGGGGGCAATCGAAACCATGCTACTCAACTAAACAGACTTTATAGTTTCACCACCTGACACCCCCACCCCTTCAATTGGGACAAAAGAGGGTGTATTTTGTTGTAATCTAACTTACAAAGGTGGCAACTACATTTGAAAACAATGCACACTTCTGAATTTGAATGTGTTTCATTATTTATAGGTCAACAATCCAAGAAAGGTTTGAGAAGAAAACTGCAGTTATATAAATCATAAATACAATGAAGACAGATTTTCAGTTAAACTTTAAGCTAAAGAAAACTAGGTTATTTCAGTATTACAATGATATGTCATATATTCATTTCACAAACTCTCATGCTTTGTGAATTCAAAATAGCTACAAATTTTTTAATATTGCTACAAAGTAATTGAATTCTTGCCAGGGTATACTATTAATGAAGGGTTCCATGCTGTGAGTGAACTTCACATTGTGTAAAATGAGTTGAAAAGAATAAATGATCAGATTTTCACAGAAAAGCATCTGCTTTTAGAAAAATATCAGAGATTTTATTGATTTATAATAAATTATTAATTAAACAGCAAATGTAAGCCTATGTGATTATACAAAACAGATCTGACATAGACTATGATTTTTGATGTTTTCGCCTTTTTGTTGTTCTTAATTTTATCAACAACAAAAAATGTAGTCCTCCTGTGTGATTAACAAAACACATCTGATAACAATGATTTCTGATATTTTCTCCCTTTTTCAGGTCTTAATTTTATCAACAACAAGGTTTTTTTTTTTACAATTTTTGATTTTCATCTTTTAATATGTATACACTCATTCATAACAATATATATTTTTGTAAAAAATAAATAACATAAATCTGTACAATTTATACAGTACCCAAACCATACTTAATACTCAATCCATACAATACCAATTCTTCATGCTGAGTTAAAATTAGACAAAAAGAGGTCATATCTTGAGACAAAATTTAGGACATACATATTATATTGGGGGGGGGGGGGGGGGGAATGGTTAGCACATGCGCGCTGTATCATAAGGTCTGTCATTGAGTAAACAGACCTGGTTTTGATTCCCCAGTTGACATGGAGTAGGGTCGCCTGTCCAACCCTGTTGGTTTTATCCGTCTCCTCCGGTTTCCTCCCACTGCTAAAGACCGCTACGCACAAGCGAAATAATTGAAATTATGTAGAGTGGATGTTAAACCCCATCTCTCTCTCTCTCTCTCTCTCTCATATATATATATTATTTAATTTTTTATTGTACTGCAACTCCTGAAATTTATAGTCAAATGTCTCAAGGTAAACAAATTCGCCAGTGCCTCGGAATATATATGTCTTTCATGTAGTTAATTAGATTATCTCTGTCTGATGGCGCCCTCTAAACTTATTTGTAAACAGAACTGTCATTTCATAAAATTAATTAAAGCTTACACTGCAACAAGGAAGATGTCTGTCAGCCAGTAGAGTAGATTTATCCATGGATGTCCATGATTTATCTAATCTTTAGACAAATATCGCTCACCAGCTCGGCTTGCATATAACGACTAGAATAAAGTCACAGCTATTCGTTGGTGTGAAACACGCCTGGACATAAGGCACCTGCCACAGACATAGACACAAATATCACATAACATTTTTTAATAATGAAATATATGTATGTTATGTGATAAATTTGTACTTGACAATGTCTGTGACAGGTGCTTTATATCCAGGCATGTGTGTAGTATATGGTAAATATTATTTTATACGGCACCTTTCATGATACTAACTGATGTATGATTAATACTGGTACAGAACTTATAATGACAGTATCATTAGATTTGAATTAGAAAATTTTTTACAAGAACTGTACATGGTAAATCCTGAGTAATATACAGTAAATTTTCATATCACTAACATTACTAACAATGTTTTTGTTTGCTCATAACAATGTTATTGAATGCTATGGGAATGCAACACCATAATAATCATGACCTGCACTGTTAAAACATTTATATGAACACAGCAGAGCTCTAACCGGAACAGACCCGGACATATTCGATACTTTCAAGTTCTGTTTTGTGCTGATGAATCGTACGCATTCTAACCAGGTATTGAGAAAAGATTCTCCACAAACTGCACATTTACTAGCTTGTGATAACATATCTCTTATATCAGGATAGTGGCGAATACACTTCCGTAAATATGACCATCTGTCCTTCAATTCTTTCATTATAAATCGTGCAGTGATCTCTTTCAAAGCTAAAACCTCTTCTTCTTGGACGGAATGAACTGGTATATGTTGTAAAAGCGGATTTTCTTCACAATAGAGCTCTTTTAAAGGAATGGCGCCAATCTCTGTGGGAAAAATTCTCAGTTCATTCGCTGCGATATCCAGGACACGTAACTTATAGCATTTTCCTATACTCTCCGGTAACTCACGTATTTTATTTTTCTGAAGATGAAGTCGTTCTAAATTTGTCAAAAAGCCAAATTCTAACGGAAGACTGGAAATGTTGTTTCCTGCTGCATGGAGTTCTGTTAACTGTGTCAAAGCACAGAATTCCAGAGGAAATCCATCAATTTTGTTATTGTCAATACTCAAGAATTTTAGGTTTCCGAGTCTGCATATTTCTGGGGGTATTTCAGTCAATCTGTTGCCATTCAAATTCAGAAATGTTAAATTCTCCAAACTGTCAAATAAAACAGGGTTAATTTTACTAATTTTATTTCCAAAAGCGTGTAATTTTATTAAATTTGTGAGCGATATAACACATTGCGGAATCTCCTCAAATTCGTTGTTTCCAAGATTCAAACTTGTTAGCTCGTATAAATGGCTCACTTCATCCGGCAGATCCTTTAATTTATTGTTCTTTATGTCCAATAAAGTTAGTCTTTCAAGTTTTCCGATGATTTTGGGAATTGTCTGTAGTTTTTGGTTGTTTAATTTTAGTTGATTTGGCTTCGATTTTAACACTCTCAATAAAAGCGTGTCCGCCATTGTTGGTTGCTACAGGTACACAAAGCTAGGCGATAGCATTAGTTTCGTATAATATATTTGACTTGATTAACTAGTCGCAGTGGGCCAAACTGATCAGCAGTAATATTCGCTTGGTCGCTACGGGGCGGGTTAATTGGCTCTCAGTATACGTATTTCTTCTGCAAATTAAATTCTAAACCATTTTTAGAAAAATATGTTGGAAGCAGATCTATATCTGGATATAAAATATTTCATATTTAGTGTAAATGGATATATATAAAATAGTAGGCCTATGCGAAGTTTAATAGTAAGTGCATGGGGTCTGCACCACACAAAATTTACACAAAGACAAATACACGGACAAGACATCATACTCAGGAAAACACAAACATACAGACAATTAAAAAAAAGTGAATGGATCCGGGGGCTAGCCGTAAGCGTCCACTGCGCTGTAAGCATATGTAGTAAAATTCAACTTATACAAGTAACCACATAGGTGAAAAGTATAAAAAAGTAGTCTAAACTGAACTCTTAAATTCAATAAAGAAACGCTTCAGTATTTAATACATATAGGGTACATGTTCCATAGTCACAAAAAAACAAAAACAAAACTGAATACAGAGAAGCAAGTAGGAAATGTAGACTGTCTCGAGGGACAGCCGTCTGCTGACTGAGAATGACGTCATATCTAAGGGGACGCTCGATTCACGGTCCAGAACGTCCCGAATTGACAGAATTGCAATCGAATAACGCGGAATTCAATTCTGTCACAGTTCTGTCAGTCCCGACAACGGAGGTGGTGGAGTAGAATCGTGACGTAATTAAAGGGTTTCGGCTGCATGGTTGGTTGTGATATTAACTTATTCAGTCGACGCATGCGTTGTAGCCCGAAATCCACCTTTTCACTCGATTGTCACTATTTTGGGGATTGAAGGAATTCAATTCCGGAACGTTCAATCGAGTACCCCCAAAAAATCACAATAATAAGGGAGATAATCCAGATAAAATAACGTTAAAAGCTTAAAAAAACATAAGTTCTAGCGACTATTCGGAATTATTAAGTTATGTAATTGTACAATATTAATATATTAATATAATACCCCACACAAGAAATGCAAAACAGGTATATTGAAGAAATCGTACTATGTAAGTGTATTTATAAAGGCATAACATTAAGGGAGGTAATTCAGACAGGGTTAGGTAACTACAGAAACTCTAAAATAAAATTTAAATTGGATCATTATTATCCAGTATGTAGTCGGTTATATACTTACAAGAAATGTCAAACTTGGTATGTTGAAGTAATGGAAGTTTTGAAATTTCTTTTAAAATGCGTAATTGTGTAGCGCCTTTGGCAGTGCATTTAAAGTACAGAGATTTTATTCGGGAGAGAAATAGATCTTTATCGTTAGGCTACATATTGTCAAAAATCGTAATGCCTGTGAATAGAAAACACTTATAGAGTGGTATCTGGTATGTTACTATAGATTGACGGGTATTTTACTACTTCAAAACCAAATTTGTCCGTTTTGTCGAAAATACCGACATTAAATTTATTGTTAATTATATTGATGTTAAGGTCAAGAACAGATGCATTTATAGTACCGGAATTTTCTTTATTTAATATTAGTCCAGGAGGATATATTTCACTTTTATATTTGTTGAAATTTCCGTTATCATTGATAGGTGTTATGTCATCAATGTATCGGAAGGTATAGTTTAGACTTTTAGCTACTTTGTAATCTGTTTTTCTTTTATGGTCTTGAATGTCGAATTCGTATTTATATAAATGGGCGTTTGCCATAAATGGGGCGGGGTCAGTTCCCATTGGCAATCCAATGGTTTGTTGCATTATCTGATCCCCAACCTCAAATATGGCATTATCAATAAGGAAATGTATGATATTTTGAGATTTTTCTTTATCAAAAACTACAGTGTCGGCATTGCGACGTTTTACAATCCATTTAGCATCTTCTGCATAAATGGCCACCAAGTTTCTGCCTTTCCCGAAAGCTCCATTAAAGGCTTTATCTACAAACCAATCTAAATTATCTTTAAGATCTGCATGTTGAAGCATAGTATACAAAGTAGAAAAGTCGAACGTTTCTATTGTGTTTGCATTAATTTTTTTATTGATTTTTTCTAAAGTGTCTACTATAGGTTTATTTTTATCAATTATAAAAAAAACTATTAATTCCAGTATAGCTACGAAGTGTTCTGCACCAAATGGCATGTTGGGTTTGGCATAATTTAAGCCCTTTGGTGATAGTCTTGGCTAATGGTTTCGTTTGGCAGATACTGGAGGATATTATATATCTGAAGTTACTACGACATACGGTCCATATATTCCGTCCAATTTACACAATGTGTGTGTTAACTACTGTTATCGACGTCGTATGATGCAGGGGCGCAATGACGAACTTTTATTCATGGTTTTGAGTTTTTGCGCCCACTTGAGTTTTTGCGCCCCCTGGCAAATGGCAAAAAATCACGCGGTGTCAATGCGTTTTTCAACATTATAATCATTATCATAATGCTCAACCAGTGTCAAACAAATACCGTGGGTCAGGTATTCTACAAATCGACGTTTCACACAGCCCAATATTACCCGACAGCACTGGAAGGCCGGGCCCCTCAACCCCGCATACACATATAAATATCATTTTTGGGAGGCCCGGACGTGATTTGTTCCTCATGCAAAATCATTGGTCACGCACGCCCCTGGTATGATGTGACGTCACGGGTAGACCTATACTGTACGTGAACTTAAAGGTCAGGCATTTTGTACAGAGTTAAAAGAAGACTTTCGCATTATCACTGTGAAACAGATTAGCAGTGAGCTACGGCCGAAAAAAAATAAAAATAATTCTCGCTCCCAGTCAAGGAAACAATCTAAATTATATAATTGCTTTGTTCATATTAATAATATGTCCGTTCGTCCTTTCACGCGTTTTTTCAACGTAACTGGTAAAAAACATGATGGATTCCTACCAAACTTACTAGATATTACGTTGTTTGGGCCTTTGTTGAGATTTGAAAATGAATTTATTCGGCTTCTTATGTAAAACTTATACAATGTATGTTGCCATAGTTTCATAGAAATGAATAAATATTGTTCCAAGCCGAACGTCAGCTGTGCTGTATATACGAAAAATATACAATGGTACATTTACTCTACAAAATTAATGGATTTTTTTTTTTAAATTCTATTTCAGTGCCATACTATCATTATTTGGAATTATTCTATCAGCTAAATGGATTTGTGCGTCACCAGACGTTGGTCTTGACCCTGGTACCAACGTCAAAGACATTGCTTGTGCTGCTACTGCGTCAGAGGGGGACGCATGCCCATGGAAATTGGTGTTCTCTGACATGGCAAATCGACTCCAACTGTTAGAAATGGCATTTAAAGATCAGGTGGTTGCTAGGCTATCGATAGAACGTGAAGTAAATAACCAGAGTTATGTTAATTTACTTCTAGATAAAAAGTTGGCTAGCTTCATTGATCGTTTAGAAAAGATGAACAAAAGATATCAACACTTAGAGAAAAGATTCGACGATATTTCTGCTAGGTTATATTCTGATGGTAAATAGATCCGATATCTTCTTATATATTTTTATAAAATCTAAACAAACGCCCTGGTCCAAAGTAGTTTGTCTGTGATATCATCCTCGAGCGGCGGATGTTCTGCCCCGACTGGGCTACAATGAAGACGGGAATATGTCATACAGAGTGCTATGTCCATGGGGGAAGGTTTGCCCGAACAACGGCACTACGACCTATTTATATCTAATTCCAACTGCCAAGGGATCATTAACGTGTATGCCAATGTAATGTGTACACGGGGCCTCGTTTTTTCGTCCTATCCGAACGACTATATACACTGTCTCTTGCCAGGCCCTCTGTCCTGCACCACTGCCCAGGGGGAAACACATCGAAAAATCCCGGTGAACACACGGGAATCGAACACGTGCCTTGCAGGTTAGCTAACCCACGTCTTACACACTGAGCCTCCGCGGTTCCCACGACAAAACGAACGAACGATCCAATGTAACTTCAATAAGGCAACTCTAAACGGGTGTATGTGTGTGTGTGTGGGGGGGGGGGTCCAGTGGTCCAATGCGTGCGCGTTAGATCAGCAGGTCTAGCATTGAGTCAAGTGGTGTGTTTTCGAGTCTAAGCTTGTACGTGACAAGGAGTAGAATCGCTGGTGCTCCGATTTCCTACTACTGCTACAGACCCCTTACGCGCATACGAATTATTGAAATTAATTGAACCGAATGTTAATCAATAACTGACCTAGTTTGTGTCGAGTGGGCGTTAAACCCGCTGTCTCTCTATATCTCGCAAGACGAAAGGTACACCTACTTTAAGTAGCCTATAACTTATTTTCTTTATTTTCAGAATCTATTGGGTTTATAATTATTCTAGTTATTATATTAGAGCTGTTGTTACGTTTTAAACCGCAAGTCAAAGCATTACAGTTAAGAATGCGTGGCCAGGAGAAGAAACTTCAACATGAAGAAAAAGAGTCACCTCAACCTAAGGTAAGAAAAAAAAGTTCCCGTGTACCCCCCCCCCCCCCCAAACATTTACGCCCCTAGTATTTGTATAGCTAAAATAGATTTTTATTGGTAAACTGATGATTTTTTTTTTTTTTCAGAATGGAGTTAACTATTCTCCTAAACATGGGATATCTTTAAAGAATGAACTATGTGTAGTGGTATTCAAACGAGATAATAACAATATTATATCAACCTTCATTGACCTAGCAATTAAAAACCTCGATGACGTAAAGCTAACGACACCATCTCATTACGTCATCGAAAAACACGATGTATTGCGTCAAATACCAAGAACTCGGCTGTATTTAATAGTGTCGGAAATTGATGAAAAGTCTACTTTTGGGTTTTGTCGTCAAATGGATAATGATATACAGATATCTACAATTAGATATATAAAATCTTTAGGCGGTAAGTAATGGATGGATGATTGAAATGGTGTTTAACGTCCTGCTTTTCTGCTTCAGCGGGCATAAACGCCATATTATACGCTATCACACTGGTCAGCAGTGAATATTCGCTAGGCCCCTTCAATCACTGAAAAGTGAAATGAAATGAAATGGGGTTTAACGTCCTACAGTTTTGCTCCGAACTGGGCTATTGGAGACGGGCATACGCCATACAGTGTGCTATGAGGGAAATTTTGCCCGGACAGCGGCACTATGGCCTACTCTTATATCGAATTCCAACTGTCAAGGGATCTTTTACGTGCACGCCAATGTGTACACGGGACCTTGGTTTTTCGTCTCATCCGAATGACTAGACAGCTGTCCTTGTCAGGCTCTCCGTCCTGCATCACTGACAAGGGGAAACCACGCCGGAAAATCTGGATGAACTTTCTCGGCCAATGCAGGGATCGAACACCCGACCTCCAGGGTAGCGAGCCAGCGCCTTACCCACTTAGCCACCGTGATCCCCCATCACTGATAAGGATGGCATGGATGCGACTTAATGTGAGCCACAAATATTAACTTTTTTCCTCCGACAAATTAAATTCTAAAACATTTTTTTATGTATTAGAAAAATAAATAAAGCCGTTTGAAGTATTTGTAGGTAAAAAATATTTCCTATTAAGTGTAAATGGGTATTAAAATGGGTAAAAGGCGCCGTTCTACCCGAATCAGTAACATCTTATGTAAACAATGCACGCACCATTGGGCCAGTGATTGACGCCGCGTGATGTGACGTCACATCTTTTACAGAGATATTAGAAGACTTTCGTAATCCTCTTTGAAACAGATTGATACACTACGAGGAAAATATTGCCCGGACAGCAGTTGAATGTCAACTGTCAAGGGTTTTTTTACGTGCATGTCAAGGTGTACACGGGACCCCATTTTTTGTCCTATCGGAACAACTAGACACTGTCCTTGTCAGGTCCTCTAAATAAACAGAATACTGTCCATTTTTGTGTTTATTTCTATAGTGCGGGTTTTTTACTAAATTACTTATGAATTTTGAATTTAAATGGACGAAATATGTGTTTTCTCTCCCCCATTTAAATATACGTGACGCATATGGCCACGTTTGTGACCTCCTGAAACAACGCAAGGGTGTGATTACTACGTCATAATCCTTTAACTTATTGTTATGTCACCGCGTGTATGCAGACGACAAGTTTTAAAAAGTGTGAATTGTTTGTTTTTACGTCTCCCCGCCTCTCTTGTCGATATGTCAGTTGTTATTTGTTTATCAGACAAGCGATCACGAGGCTTTAAGATGGTGTCATTGGTGTTATCAAGGCTGACAAAATAAAAAAGGTGGATGGGGGTCAGAATGAATTCAATTGTTCTCCAAGATTTTCCAGCGTCCGGGTTAAATTTCCCTCATAGCACACTGTATGGCGGACGCCAGTTTTCATTTGCCCAATCGGTGTAGAAAAGTAGGACGTTAAATCCCATTTCATTTCATTTTAGGTACGACGCTGGCTCGCTAGCCTGGAGGTCGCGTATTCGGTCCCTGCATCATTGGCCGAGAAAGTTCATCGTAATTTTCCGGCGTGGTTTCAGAACGGAGGGCTGTCTAGTCGTTCGGATGGTACGAAGAACCGAGGACCCATGTGTACATTGGAGTACACGTAAAATATCCCTTGGCAGTTGGGATTCGAAACAAGAGTAGTGCCGCTGCCCGGGCAAAATTTCTCTCATAGCACAATGTATATGGTGTATGCCCGTCTTCATTAGCCCAGTAGGAGCAGAACAGTAGGACGTTAAACCCCATTTCATTTTATAAAAAGTCTATGAACAGCGATTTACAATATCTTGTTCTTAATAAGATCATGTCTTGATCTTGGTTCGATTCTCGTGCTGGCCGCGAAAGTTCCTTCGTGTTTGTCAGTATGGTTTCCCCCTTATCAGTTATGCAGAAACCTAACCCTAACCCTGATCCTAGCCCATAATCGTCAACAATCGCGTACCTTAACCCTATAAATTACACCTCGCAACCTTGACGAAATCTGCAGATGGCCTTAATATTTAAACCTGGCCATTGAAAAACCTCTAGTCGTTCGGTTGGTATATACTCAAAGCACACTGCTTGTCATATTCTCGCCTCTGTGATCACGGTTGGTGCAGAACTCCATTTCATTTCACTCCACTTTATTTGATATCTGTGGTCAAAAGGTTAATCGTGTGGTTTTGGGGAGCCGCTGTGGTTCATTGAGTAAGACGCTGGCCCGTTAACCAGGAGGTCTCGGGTTTGCTCTCTGTGTTGGCTGAGAAAGTTCCTTGGGATTTTCCGCCACGGTTTCTCCTTGTCAGTGGCTTCGTTGTCCGGGCAAATATCCCCCAAAGCACACTGTGCGTATGCCCGCCTTCATTAGCCCAGTCGGTGCAGAAAAGTAGGACGTTAAACCCCATTTCATTTCACTCCACTTCCACTTGATTTCATATCTGTTGTATAGCATGTCTTATCGTTTTTTGCTGGTTTTTTTGGGGTTTTTTGTTGTTTTTTGCATGTAGTGCGGTCCTCCTCCACTTACTATTTGAACCAGAAAGCTATCGGTTGCTCCAAAATAGTTCTAACGTCCAAAATGTTGAAATAATGGAGATAATTGAGTTTTAGTATTGATCGTTAAGAATAACGTTCAGAATATAGTAAATGTCTAATTCTAAACTGTCAATTATCTGACGTCAGATTAGAAAAACAAAGTGAGTGCCATCGAGTCGTAAATGTAATTAGAACTTTTTTTGTCGTTTTCTGCTGATTCTTAAGAGCCTAATTTGCTGGTTTGTTCGCCCCCAGTACATAAAATGACTGCTAACCGATGTAAAGATTGATATACGTTTCCTTATACAATGACAGCAATTCACTCTATCCCGCTGGCAATTCTGTTGCAACAGATAATGCAATCTCCTACATATTTTTTGCTTTTCTAGGAAGTTTAAAATATTTTGACAAGAGTTTTTTTTAGTGGTCGTGTTTATCCAACGCACGTACTTTAGAGCATAAGGTCTGTCACGTCACCTAGTTAAGTGGCATGGTTTCGATTCCAAGTTTGCGCGTGACAAGGAGTTGGGTGTTCTGCTCAACCTCATGGGTGGTCTCCTCCCCCCCCCCCCCGCCGCCGCTAAAGACACCTGAGTGAAAGCAAATTATTGAAATCCGATTTTTAAAAATGTTAGTTCCCAAAATGGGGGGGTTGGATGGCTGAATGGTTAGCGTGCGCGCTGTATCATAAAGTCTGTCATTGAGTCGACTGGCGTGGTTTCGAATCCCCGGTTGTACGTGGCAAGGAGTAGGGTCGCCTGTCCAGCCTCGTGGGTTTTCCCCGGGTCCTCCGGTTTCCTCCCACTGCTAAAGACCCCTACGCACAAGCGAATTATTGAAATAAAATTAAACCATATGTTAGTCCCGAAATGACCTAGTTTGTGTCGAGTGGACGTTAAACCCCATTTCTCTCTCTCTCTCAGTTCCCAAAATGACCTAGTTTGCGTTGAGTGGACGTTAATCACCATTTATTTCGCTCGCTCGGGCTTTCTATAAACAGAAACCACAGTGTGAATTGACCTTGGATTTCAAAAGCCTAAGTAATCTCGGGGCTGTTGCCAACCTTCCTGTTTCATCTAGGCAATTCGAGACAGGCAATTTAAAAATGGTGTAAATTTGATTTATTGAAAAGACAAAACTGGTCATTTTCTCGTATCGGAGCTAAAACTTCCTTGTATCTTATATCAGTTTCTATGATATATTTGTTGGAGTGAATTCGACTGCTTACGCCCCCATTGTTCGCAATTTATATTCAATTCTACTTTATCCAATTTTAGTATATCTCCGTTTGAACTTTCAGAAGTGTTTTCTGAGAAATGAAGTGTCTGGCAGGAAATAAGCAGGATTCAGTAAGAGTGTATTAATATGCCCATTACAAATGATCTTTTCAATGTTTCGATGGCAAATTCTTCGTTTTCCTATAGCGTTAAGATTTCGTGCAAATAGTTCAGATAGTGTAAATTTAAAGAATAAATAATCCCCATACTCCTAGCTACAAAATTGAAAAAGGCGTGGGGGTATGGAATATTGCCAGTGGTGTATTCTATACGAGCATATTTGCTTATGCCGCGTCATCAATACGTCAACCAGTCCATAATTTGTATATTTTCATCTTGTTAATGGTAAATGTACATCAAGTCGGTCTTTAGATGGGGGCGAACTTGTCTACAATGAGGTAAATTTTGCCAGGACAGCGGCGTTTTCTCCTAATTCTGGTCGAATTCCAAGTGTCAATGGTTCTTTTACGTTCACGCCAACGTGTACATGGTACCCCTGGGTTTAGATCCATGCGAACGACCAGACGTTTTTCCTTGCCAGGCCCTTCTTCCTGCAAGTCTGACAAGTGGATATCCCGCCGGAATATCTTGAGTCACTTTCTCGACCAACACCGGGATAAAACCCGGGACTCCTGGTTAGCGAGCCAACGCATATCACTAAGTCAACTCGGCTCCCGGGAAATATTTAACACCAAGCAGTCCATGCGTCGCTGGCTAGATGTGGAAAGTACAGTAGAAAAACTCCCCACATCCAACGTCTGACGCATACTCTCTTATTTATATCGTGTGTGATGTTATTTTATTGTGTGTGTCATCATTTAATATCTGTGTAGCCAGTGTGCCACCTGCGAGAATTGTGTTAGTTTGTGATTTACTTTAGTAAATAACTCGTGGGTGGGATAGGAATGTGAAAAGTGCTCAATTTTCTATTTTATAAAATTTAGATGCAGTGATCTTATTGACCCCGGCTGGTTTTGATAATATATGATATTGGTTTTTCAACAATACATTTTGTTCTAAACACGTAGGTACTGTATGGTAATTAAAAATTGCCACTTCCACGTGTATGGACAATGTACATATGACCGGAATAATTTATACCAGTTAGCGAAATTAAGATAACTTGTAAACTCCAAATATAGTTATGATCTTGTGTGTGTAGAACCAGCTGAAAGGTATATAACCACGAGTTGACTAACAGTTAAAGACACGAGACGCAGATAGGTAGACGAGTGGAGTTGGGCAGAGGAGAGTGGAGATCGGCGGAGGGGCGGAATGGTTATCGTAAACTATTAATGTACCAAGTTAATGTTATCGTTTATATCGTTTAGTTTCTGTTTAATTTATGTAGCTGTTTTATATTCTGTTCCGATGTAAATAAACCCTATATGTGCGAAACTGATCTCTGTTATCCCTTAATATTGTTACACATCACATTCTGGATTTTTAGATATCTAATTTCTTGTCCAATATCTTATGTTTTATTTTGTCTCGTTTCAGGAAGTATAATCCTTGTTATAGCCAACGATGAAACCTCGAAGAAACTGACGGCGCATTCTCTATATAACACGTCCTTACGATTCATCCAATCAAATGATATATTACAAGAGTTGGCATCCAATGGAAAAGTGTTTAGCATGTGGCGGGAACTTTCGTCGCATCAAATGAGCCATTTACGTAAAATTATTCGGACTGCGTTAAATTTGAAAATGCCTATTCGTTGACATTAATTAATTACAAATGAAGAACAGAGAATTTTATTTCTAGCATATGTTTTCGAAATCATACCGTGTACAAATTGACACTAAATTTTGTCAAAAATTGTGCGATGAGGTTGGCGCCTTGTCTGGCATGATGTTTTTGGTGGAGACATGAACCATTTGCGTAGAATTATCCTAATTGCGTTAAATATGAGACTGCCTATTAGTTGACATTATTAATTACAAATTGAGAACAAGAATTTGATTTCGCGTATGTTTTTCGAAATCATACCGTGTACTTATCGAAATTATGCACCCTTGTAAATGTTCTCGCATTATGTTTTGACGGAGATAATTTTTAAAAATAAATAGGTACCTTAAGTCAAAGCTCTCTTCGGAGAGTACCCTTTTTGCAATTATTTAACAGGTGGGGGGATTTGGGTAGGGGAGGGGTCGTGCCCATTAAAATCTGCTATCCTGACCTTGCATGTTGGTTGGCGTCTTCAAACCAGAACGGTCATACAAGCTAGCAATAAAATATGAAGATCTATTCTATTTAGTATTTATAAATAATTAACAGTGAGACTTGACGGGATCGATAATGAGAACTCTGGTATTAATTTGTCTATATTGTCTATGTCCAAGGGCCAAGGAAAGCACACAAACCTATGGTTATAATTTTATTTCAATAATTCGCTTGCGACGCTGCGCGTAGTAGGCCTCGTATTTAGCAGTGGGCGGAAACCAGGGGAGCGGGAGAAAACCAGCGACCCTCCTCCTTGTTTTCGTTCGACCTGGGAATCGAAAACACAACTTGAATCATTGACAGGCCTTATGATCAAGAAGGCACCAGTTAGACAGTATATGATTTAGAGCCTGGGTGTTTTTGGATTATTACCTTTCTTTGACAGTCATTTGGCCTATGGAGGAGCTTTAATCTTTAATAATCAAAATAATAAAAAAAGTGACAAGATCTCATTAATCACTTCTGTAAACATAAATCCATTAGTTATCATAAATCCATTAGTTATCATAAATACATTAGTTATCATAAATCTATTAGTTGTAAAGCATAATCAATTAAGTCAAATTTCAACAGAGAGCCAGGATTATGAAGACAGTAATCTGAATCATTTCAAATGAGGGTTATTACGATTCTATTCATGTTTCACTGCTGTGACAGATTAGAAAGAAGTCACCCTTTCCCGTTGCTTATAATAGCCGGGTACAGATGGTCGTCGTTCAGACAATAACAGACAATATCAGCACGTAGGCAACTCTTCTTCTTTAAACGTTATTTTTATCGCTCTGGGTAATGAATACAACACCCTTGTGTAAAACGTCACTTATTACGTCATGTGTCAGTGTCATCGCCGTAATCAATGTGGCGTATAATCTCACACCAAAAGGAATGGGTTTGGGCGGTAAATTTGTGCCCGACGGGAATTGAAAGGGTGGTTGTAATGCAGAGTCCATCTAAGGTCAACTTATGGCCGAGGTTTGGGAATGAAGAAAGAAAACTGAATTTGTTGCTTTTGCCCGTCTGTGTTCCTTGCAAATCCGTGGCAAAATTTTACTATCATCGTAGGCCAGTAGGCCTAAGGTTAATTAGAAATCAAGAATAGGCCCACTGCCTGAAACTTCTGAACCCAAGGCCTAATAAACACTGGGGACCGAATCGACCCAATCCTACAACAACGTTATTTATTTAACAATATAGCCTATGGAAAAGATTGGGACACAGGCAACGACCCGACTACATAGATCGGCATAGTCTACTACATTTTTCATATATTTAGGCCTAGACCTACTAATAAAAGAATGGTGTGTGGGTGGTTTAGTGGGTACTAGGAGGTTTCCGCGGTGTTTTCCGAAGAAATTCTTGAGGATTTTCCATCCTGGTTTCCACTTGTCGGTGTTGCAAAACGAGGGGATTAACATGGCGGGTTCAATAGCGCCTAGTCTTTTGGTTGAATAAAACACCGAAGTCCGCCGGTATAAGCTACTCGTTGGCGTGCACTTAAAACAGCCCTTTACAGTAAGCGGGACACCCCTGCCCGGGCAAACTTTACCTCATAACCCACTGTATGATGTATGTCCGTATTCTTTAGCCTGTTTGGTGCAGAAGAGTAGGACGTTAAAACCCCGTTTCATCTCAATAAAAGAACAGGCATATTATATAAAACTAATTTGCATACAAAACAATAAATACTAAAGAGAATTATAAGTTCGTCCGGCATGGAAGTGTATCGTACGTGGTTATCTTTTTTTTTTTTTAAAAAAAAAAGAAAAGCCTCGATTCTTTTATTTAGAATAAGCCTATGGGCCTAATATTTTACCGAGTATAGACCGACTCCGCAGATGGTCATCTGGTCAAAATGAGTGAAACATAATCATAATTAGTTAAATAATTACGTCATTGTATTTTCTCAGTCGGGCAATGATCTTCTTAATTTGATCTGGTTGAGAAGATAAGTTATCCGTGGTATACAGGGTTGGGGTCAGAAACGTAATCACCTTAGAGAAAGAAATAAATGTGATTATTATGTTTATTTAACAGCACGTGTTCAGATTTCGTCAAAACGGCGGCCATTAATTATTGGTTGATGTCCAGCTGTTGCGGATTAGCGCGGGAATTTGATCTTTCAATTAAATTCGCATTGGTCAAGTTTTGATCATTAATTATTTGACTGAAAATAACCAAACGGTCGTAGATATATTATATATAAGCCCAACCCCAATTTGTCATTATATAGAACAATATGTGTAGGCCCTTATGTTTCAGTTTAACAATCTTCATCAAAATGTTCCTCGTTTCTCTTGGAAAATAGATCTACTTTCTTTTGCGTAAACCTTGCGTCGGTATTTTTTGATAGCAATATTGGGGACTTTGAACAGTGGAGGTCCCGGGGAGGAGACAAAGTCCAGGCCCCGGTTTCACAAAAAATTCTCAGATTTAAGTTAAGAATTTATTCAAAATTGTGCGCCTTATTTTAACTAAAATATACCCCTTACAAAACTTTTGTTTTTTTAATGTATCAAATACAACAATAAGAAACTATAATATGTGAACATTTTTTTTGTTTCTGGATCAAACAGTGATTGAAAGTTGAGAGAATTCTTTTTGAAACTTTTGTCAGACTGGCATGAGGTCTGTCGTATTGCCCGAGACTTCGATAAAATCAGAAGCTCTGGAGAAAAAAATTATGCTCATGTAGGTGTATACAATATGTTGGATTAGCGTAGAATGCGACCAAAACGGCGCTAATCCCTTGCAGTCACGTTGGTTTATTTGGATGAATACGTGCCTGTATATTGGTCTAAAAATGACCCACGACGTTGGATCCCATTCCACTCTAATGAGCATGGGCAGATTTTTAGCTGTTCTCTTGTACGCACCTTTTTATTTTGCAAAAAAAAAAAAAAAAAAAAAATTGATTGAAATAATTTAATTTTGATTGGTAGACAATAAAGTATAGGAGTATAACCAAAATATAATTTTGTAGACCAGAAGATCTTTGAATCAACAAAGTTTGTTAACGTAACAGTTTCCTTTCAAAATGTAACAGAGACAAGTTGTTAACATGACAGTTTATCCAGTTCCAGAGGTTTCATAACGGTCAGGGGCCCATAATTTGTTCAATTTAAATAACATCCATTTTCGCATCCTCTGAAATATAGAATGACCTAAATCCGATTGCCTGCGGGAAAATTTATTTAAGCAAGTTCCGTTTTCTGACCATGTCACGTATTTGTACCGCCATTTGGACTCAAAGGAACCAGTTGGTCCGAGGGCCCAGAGGTACCCATGCAGTCAGCCCCTGGACACTGATGGTTAACTTGACAGGTCCCCAGCAATAGATCTAACAGATCAAATAACAAAAGCCGCTAGTTTTTAAAGGATCTTAAACCTGATCAAAATGTTTGTAATTGTTGTATCTGAGTTTAATGAAAACCATAAAATCTATTTTCTTTGTGGTACGACGTAAAGCAGTTTATTATCAGTTCATTATAGTAAGAGGCTAAAGGGGATAAAAGAAGGCTGCTTAAACTCTTACATCATTAATGCGATATAAAAACTTCAAACGGATGACGTCATTTTGATCTGATGACCTAGTTAACAAGTGGTGCAAGTGACAACTGACAAAATCTGTATACATCATGCAATAGTCCACAAAATCCAATATGCAACATTTCTGTGGAGATTTAACACTAGAATATTTCAATCAAAATGTCACAATTTCTATGGAGACTCGGGCCAACACAATTTGAATCAAAATTCTGCATTGTCCAAAACACGTTGTCCAACATCAAAAAATTTGAATTTCGTTTATATCGAAAACCAATTGTTTCCATCACGCGTGCAGGGAAAAGATAAACTATGAGTTGAACGAAACTGTTTCAATTGGGCTTTCAGAGAAAATGTGTATATTTCTTCTGGAAAAAGTAAAAGTAGTTGGTCTCTGATTGATCCCCTGCACATCTTATTTCTCTCATTGTCTCTAATGAAGTCATCTTCACGCTTTTATATAATAAACTGTAACACTATAGAATAGATACTCACTTTTCACAATAAAAAAAAAAGATAACCTCGGGGGATAGCCAACTGCGTGTACGCCATCCTTTAAATAGGATTAATTTTCTGTGGCAAATGTTCAATAAAGAATTCACGTTAATTCAACCATATAGCACTAAACTTAAGGAGCCCAGTCCGTTTAGCTCCCTCGCTGTTTATATTTATCTAAGAATTTTATTTTGGGGGTTTTAAGAATAATAGACAGGATTACAGAACTTTAAATCAATTTAAAGTCAGGTGAATGAGTGATTTATAACAGTGATGAATAGTAATGTTAATCTTAGATAACAAAATGAAATGGGGTTTAACGTCCTACTGTTCCGCTCCAAACTGGGCTAATGAAGATGGGCATACGCCATACAGTGTGCTATGAGGGAAATTAGCTTAGATAACGTTCCATTTATCATTTTCATAATCTAGCGTTTAAATTGATTTAAACAGTATTTATTCTTAAAATATCAAACATAACATGACAATTTTAAGGATGTGATAAAAAAAAAACCAAGCTAAAAGCTTATTTAAATAAAATTGCTTCACACATTATTAGGACTTTATTTCAAGAATCTTTAAGGAGGAAGAAAATCCAAAATAACTAATGTAAATAAACACAAACAGGCCGTTTAACTTCTAATCTTAAAGTGCTACCGAAACATTTGATTTTCTTATCTTTGTTTTAAAAACTGTATATGGCACATATTATTTAATTGTAATATTTGTATAGAGTACAGTCATTGATAAATAACCAACTGAGTTTTACCCTCATATTTCTGAAGAAATAGTTACAGCCATGACCATAGCAATATGCTGAGCTCTTCCCCAAATTATTAGAGCATTCACTTGGGTTTCAAAATATGAACATGGTCTTGTTATTTGGATGAATGATACACCTATTTGTAGCTTGCCATGGTACACGGTAATTTATATCCATCTTTTCACTCAACAGTGCCATCCTAAGTAAATATCACTCATTTGAAATTCTAAGAGGTCTTTCTAACACTACCATCACCCAACATATTATAATGAACAATTTGTTGCCAGAAGATCCGTTCTTGGTGTCCAAAAAAAGAAATGTTCTCTGTTTGTTCTATAATTCGGTCCAGATTCACTGGCAATGCTTTGTCCAGTTCTGGCATTCTTATGATTTAAGTATGCTGCTATCAGTGGAATTTTGCCTGGACAGCAGCACTACCTCCCAATACCAACTTTTTACACTCAAACCAAGATATACACACAACCTTGGTTTTTCAGGCCATCTAAGCGACTAGACATGGTTCCTTACCAGACCCTCTGTCCTGCATCAATGACAAGGGGACCATGTCGGAAAATCCACCAAAAGAACATTCTTTGCCCACACCTAAATCGAACAGGAGACCTCCTGGTTAGCGAGCCAGCAACATTGCTTATTGAGCCTGGGGGGTTGGATGGCTGAATGGTTAGCGTGAGCGCGCTGTATCATAAAGTCTGTCATTGAGTCGACTGGCGTGGTTTCGAATCCCCGGTTGTACGTGGCAAGGAGTAGGGTCGCCTGTCCAACCTCGTGGGTTTTCTCCGGGTCCTCCGGTTTCCTCCCACTGCTAAAGACCCCTACGCGCAAGCGAATTATGTAAATAAAATTAAACCATATGTTAGTCCCGAAATGACCTAGTTTGTGTCGAGTGGACGTTAAACCCCATTTCTCTCTCTCTCTCTCGCTTATTGAGCCACCATGGATCCCTCCTAAATATACAAGGTCTGGCATTCTTGTATTTCTTGAAAGAAAATAAACATAATTGGTTCAGATAAAATTCAATGAAAAAAACAGTAAGATATTATTTATAGTTATAGAGTATTTATTCTATACAATTTCCAGTATTCTATATACAATTCTCATTTATACCTCATATTACATAGATTTATTAATATACACCATTTACTCAGTGATTAAACCCAACGATGGATAATGACATACAGATACTCCAATCATTAAACTAGAAATACACAGGTCACTACTCTATGGAATACAACTACTGAGTGATGTTTCAGACTAGGCTTATCTTTGTTTCATAATGACTAGAGAAGCCTGGCTGGGTAATAAACAGCAATTGTATTCCATAGAATTGTGACCAGTGTATTTCCAGTTCAATTACTAAATGTCATTGAAACAATACAATAAAACAGGAGTAAAATGAGGACATTCTTTCCGTCACAGATAGCACTGATATTTGGCTTAATTTATATAATATCAAAATGTGTTTAAATAAATGAATCCTATACAATCGTAGACGAGAAGATAGTACGAAAATTCATTGGGTTTGGTTTTCAAAGCAAGAAAAACATAAATAGATTAATTTGAATCAAAGTTAAATAAAACTGATAACTGTAAACATTGGAATGGTCATTAATACTTAGAATTAAATACATTTCAAATATTGAATACAAAAATATCAATGATGTAATGTTTCACGAGTAAAAAAATATAAATGAAAAATAATCTATACTACCCTTTTTCTTTCGTTTCTGTTGGAATTCATTTTAATGAGGATGTTAATAATTTATAATCAAAAATAATATATAATCATGTATTTTTTTTGCCTAAAAATGATTTATCTTATGACTAGTTGCACAGCAACAGGGTTTGTGGTTGAACTCCAGGAAACAAGAGCTAAAGATCTACCCTTCTAAATTCTGACAATGCAGAGATCCCAGCAGAATCATACCCACAGACCCTTGAACTCTGACTGTGCCACTTCTTATGCATAAAAAAAAAAGATTATTTTATTGTGGGGGTTAATGATGTAGAGCGAGACAATTAAGTAATATATTGATAATGCACAAGAGTGTCAGCCGGAGTGTGGTATCAGCATATTATGCAATGTCTTGCATGAGACCATTAAAGAACTTAAAATACAGACATTATCTTGCAGTGCATTTCAATGAAATTTTAACACAAGTCCAATATATCATCTAGTTTAAATAATGTATGATTAGCATGTCACCTGTATGTTATTTAAAATAATGATACAGTAACATCTGTATTTTTAATAATTAAAAAGATATAATGAAAAATTTAGGTTTCATAATAAACAAGTAGAAGAATGTATGGCCCTACCTGCCTTTTATTTAAAAGCAGTAATTAATAAACATAGATTAATTAAAATAATATAAAATCTATAAACAAAATGGCAGTGATTTTCACAATCATTATCCTTCAATTAACAGAAATGTAAGACTAATAATAACTACAGCCACATGAATTTGATTTTCTCTTTGGTAACACCGATAAAGATTTATTTAAAGTCGAAAACACTTTAGTTGTGCGGTTCAAAACCTTTAGTTCCAAATTTTTAATTTTTGAAATTCTAAATATAACATCTTTCACATGATGATTTAAGCGGCTATTTATTTCTCAAGACCCAGAAGAACAGAAAACCAAATTGGTGTGGATGAACTAAGTAATTATCTAATAATTCTTAACAAATAAATACTAATACAATAAAAAAACATACAAAAATAAATAAAGTGGTGAAAGTTTTCACTAGAAATTCATTTCAATATAAAAGACTAAAACCACTTACTTTATGGCAAGTCTTCCAAATGATAATTTCATTAGCGAGTCATTTTGATTAAAATATTAAAAAAAAAATACAACTAAATAAGTTTGGATCAATTTTGGATCATTATAGAAAACAAAAGCCCACATCATGTATATTATATGTAAATGTAGGCAACATAATACTTGTTGTAAATATGTTAGACAATTCCTTATGATTTACAGCAGCTGATTGCCATATACATCCCAACTTAGGAATATTGTTATTAACATAAGAGTTAAAACGTACCATATTATGATTGCCTTTAAATAGCAATATTGTTATTAACATAAGAGTTAAAACGTAGCATATTATGATTGCCTTTAAGTAGCAATATTGTTATTAACTTGTAAAACAAGTGAAATGAAATGAGTTTTAATGTCCTACTTTTCTGCACCAACTGGGCTAATAAAGACAGACATACACCATGCAGTGCACTATGAGGGAAATTTTGCCCAGACAGTGGCATTACCGCCTACTCTTATGTCAAATTCCAACTGTCAAGGGTTCTTTTATGTGCATGCCAATGTGTACACTGGATCCCATCCGAATGGCTATACATTGTCACTTGCCAGGCCCTCTGTCCTATACCAATGACTTGATGGGGGAACCACACTGGAAAATCCAAATGAAACCACACTGGACCTCCAGGTTAGCGAGCCAAATTCTTACTCAATGAACCGACATGGCTCCTTGCATAGACGTATTGCTGTTTTAAGTTTGTATTTCTTATTAATCTACGTTTAGTTCACCAGAAGTCATCAGACTTATGAGCATCCAATAATCACCAATGATGGTATACTGTCAGGAGACGAGACATAGTTTCTTATACATATTCATAGCAACTATATATACTATTAAAAGCAATCATTTGTAGAAACTCTTATGGGAAATCAAGACTAGTCTAGTCAAAATAACCAAAATTTTGTAACACAGAAATAGGTCAATGAAACACACTCAATTCTATCTCTTCGACTTTGTTTCCTTTTCTCACACTTAAAAAACTTTTTTAAATTCGGGTTAAATGAAATTAAAAATTATTTAAAAGTTCCCTAGTTTCACTTCTATGGCTAATTATGTTGAAATGGCAAATGAAGTGAGATCCAACCTTAACTAGTGATTTGGCAATTTTTAAAACATATCACAGTAAAGATATATACACAACAGAATAAATAAATACAACCATGCACTACTTCTGCCATTGAAACATCAAAATAATAATTAATAATAAAATGGACGACAAAAAGTTTTACCTCAAAATTGAAATGTTTCTTCTCATTAAAGCTTATAAAAATATTATGAAACTTAATTTACTAATTCAACAAAGAAAACGCTGCCTGTTTTAATTATTTTAAAAAAATACTTTAGGTAAGTTTTATGCAAATCAGGACAACCACTTTTTTTGTCCATTGCGTCAATTCATATGGCCACATCTGTCTTGTATACATATATCCTTACATACATTAAAACAACCAATTATGCCATGTATCACACACTGGCAACCATACTTAATAGGGATGTGGACAAAATTTGATGTAAAGTTAACAGGGGAGAGGTAGAGAGAAAAAAAGTTGCTTTTTTCAAAGCATTTTAGTTACAATTTTTTATAGTTTCAAATGGAATACGGTACCCAAATTAGGCCACACCAAGATGAATTTTTGTTCATTGAGTGAACACCTATTAAAATTTGGCCTCTTACTTCGATGTGGTAAAATAATTTTTTTTAAAGCAAATGGTATTAGGTTGCTCTTTTCAAAAATAAATAGTTACAATTTTCTAAAGTTTTGAAAATTTAAACAAAACATCGTTCACAAGTCTTAAATGTATTGGTTTGGCCTGATTACGCACCCAAGAGATTGGCAAATACATTTTTGTTATCTTTTCATCCACATCCTTAATATACTTATATTACTAAAAACACAGCACATCAACAAAACAATACAATTACATAATATATTACTAACCAAATTCTTGTTATAACAACAAGCACATCTTGGGAATCAACCCCTAAAATTTAAAAAAAAAAAAGGAATAACATATACACTAAAAAAACAATCACCAGATTTGTATAAAGATTTATATTTAGCTTTTCTTCGGTACATTGACGCTCTGTAAATATGTGGCTTGATTATTGGTTGAGCAAGAGATGTATTGACCAGCGTTGGTTGTGATTGGTTGAGCCCCGGATATTACCATTTGAATATTCGACACCTGTGAAAATGTTGACGTTGGAGATCCAAGATTGTAGGCGATGCTTGTTGCGGTAGATGCTGCAGGAAGAGTAAAGAATGTTGGACTAGATGAGGAGTTAGCGGGGGTCACTGGGGTCAAAGGAGGACTAAAAGTGTTCACTGGAACAACAAAGTTCATTGGTTGATTTTGATTCAATGAATTTAAGGGTAAGCTCTGTATCAGGGATGTAGGTGTCATAAGGGACATATGTTTTTTCTCCTGAGCTGATAAAGAATTACGAGGGATGTGTACAATGGGAACATGTATAAATTGTTGAGGATGGTTCGTCATCTGAACTGTAACATGCTGATACGACGATTTCAACAGCGATTGACCTTTCTTAGTTTCACTGTCCTCGGGTAATGGAAGTGCCAAATCTGAGTCAGCTGGCATATCAGGGGGACTGATGGTTTTAAAAGCTCCACACGATTTGAATTCTGGAGCAAGATGAAGAGCTCTTAACGGGGATGGGCGTCCATTTTCCGTAGAGCCCCGTCTTTTGTTTAAACGTTGGTTTATCTCTGATACTTCATTATCAGGGGATCCATCACTGGAACTAGTGCAAGATTCTTCCTCGGTTGATGGTGGTGTCGGAAGGGCCAACTTTATGCGTTTTTCCATTCCTGCTTCAATACGATCTACGCCACGTTTTATTCCCCGCATGTAATCTGTGGTCGTTGAGGGAGTTGTTTCATTTCTAATGGCCATACTGAACTCTGGCGATGCTGATCTTTGTTCTAATTTAACAATTTCTTCTGATTTTACGCCAGGAAGGTTCGGAGACGACTGGGTACAAGCATCTACCAGACGGGTGGTATCAATATTTGTAACAGGAACCTTTAAAGATTTTAAAACTGCGTTGATTTGATCTTGAGTTAGGGGTATCATGGTTGGTTGTCTACAACTAGTTCCATTTAAATTATTAGTTTTTATAATTAAAGTTTCCTGCTTCCGTTGAACACCTGTGTTGTTTTTCTTCATAGGAGATAATGTTGCTGCTGGTGTACCTTTCAACATAAAAATCTTTTTCTTCTTTTTCACCGGTAGGGGTTCCTGACTAGCAGGCAAGCTAGGGATATCTTCCATATCTGAAAAAAATAAATATATTATTAATATATTTATTTGATAACAATATTTATTTCAAAATGATTTGCTTGGCAAAGACAGGAGTATTCTTGGTGAAATGCAGAGAGATATGAAATGGTCTTAATGTCCACCGGAAGATCCAGAAAAAAAACAAAAAAAACATGAGGTCAGGTCAGGGAAAGAAATCAGGCCACTTGACTCAAAGACAGACCATATGATCTAAAGGGCACTCCCCTGACAAAACATTGCATATAAATAAACTCAGTAACTTGTATACCCACAAAATTGTACCTTGTGTTCATATGTTCAATAACTAAATGTCTATCAAAGAAACTTTATATATTACTGAAGATAGTCTTGACGAAATATCCATAAAATTGTACTTTGTGTTCATATATCCAATTACTAAATCCCTATCAAAGAAGTAATGTCTATTTCATCAGACATCACACAAAACACTTTTTCACAAAATTGTCACATTTTAAGTACATTAACTACATTATCGATTGGTAGATAACTATTCATACTAAGTTCTTCCTCTTGGCTTCCATAGAAAGAATTAGCAAGAGGAGGGTGGTGGTGGGTAAGGCTGTGCAAAAATATCGATATAATCGATAATCGGTAGAAGTTATTTAGCGATACGATAATCGATATTGAAATTCAAATATCGATTATCGGTATATTTACCTTCTGACGGCAAGTTACGGTCACTTTCACATGACTGAACTTGCCGTAGTCTGGCATGCAGACGAATGAACGAATACACGACGTCAACACAACAAGTATTTTCCATATTATTGTAAAAAAACTAAACTTTAAGATTAAATACATTATTTTAATATTTTCATTGTTTTTGTTATTACTAGTTGAAACTAAAATAGGTCACGCACTTTGTGAACAATGATGATCGCACGTGATATTGTAAAATTAGAATTATCTCCCTTCTTTGCTCTTGATTGATTTGTAGAGAAATTGTCTGCTTTCACGATAAAACTAATTGTATTATTAATGATCAACTCAGCTTTTATTACTAAATCATGTCAGATACAGCCCATACAAACACGTTTTTGACTTCCCGGGAAAATATCTATATCTCTCGTAATTTCTTGGAAGAATTATACTTTGGTTTTCGTCAAAATTAACCAATCATAAAAATTCTACTTTGAAAGCCGGTAATTATTTTTTTATTGTCCAATCAATAGACGCCTTCTATTATATTTTATTCTATTATTAGTAACACTGTGTGATCGCCAGTAACTCGCAAAGAGAAACCATGTATTGTCTTTGTATTTATCGGAGATATTGGAATAAAAAAAAGGTTCAAATGAATTAAGAACAAAACTTAGAATAATACTCAAGTTAATCCTACATTTAGCAACTAATTATTTTACATTAATTGATTTTTTTACGTACATCGGCACAGTATTAGACTAGGATAATAACACTACTGTAACTCGATCAACACAAATAACAGGTCGGTAAAGTTCGGTTTTTCCGGAAGAATGATAATCGATTATTATCGATAATCGCTGACAAATTCTTGCCGATAATCGATATTGAAATTTCATATCGATTCCCAGCCTTAGTGGTGGGGGGGGGGGGGGTGGAAAGGGAGATGTTGCAGAATTTCAGATGGATATTTACTCAGACTTTAATTTTCAAAAAAGTCTTCATGAACAAATTTGCAAAAGTATACATACTTTCAAAGTCTAATTTTTTAACAGGGCTTGATGGTTCTGAATTACAGGCATATAGTTTGGTTCTTTCTTTTTCAGCTGCTTCACAGATCATATCAAAAGATGCATGACGTGAAAATCTCTTTGGTACATCACTTTGTATTTCCTGTTGTAAGCTGTTCAATTTGGATTTCTTCTCTGAAATATAGAAAGCATTTCAATATACAACTTTTACTTTTAATATTATTATAGTATTATCAAATACAGGAAAACCACAAAACACAAAAACTGAAAATAGTAAAATAAATATGAATCCAACTTCCTGTCTGCACCCTCTTTCAGTTTTTGGTTATTATGCAAGAAACATAATATACTGAAATTCAAAGAAACTTTACCAAGACTCTGAGACACTATTGAATAGGAAAAAAGATTCATTTGGAGATTCAATTTGGAATAGGTCTATTATCTAAATTATATAGGGATATAAATACATGTAATAGAATATTTTTATTGGTATAATTTCTTTTGGACATCAGTATATACGATCAAGAACTTTCACACTTTCTGCAATTTGTAATTGAAAAGGTTTTTTTTTTTTCAAGAAAGATGACAGCAGATATTTAAATGATCCCGCATTAACATCAATCTAGAAGACTACAGACGAGATACAATATTTTGGCAAAGGTATAATTTCTTATTTGATGAAAGAATAACAGACAGTTTTATGGATAACATTCACTGCTTGATAACGATGAGAGTACCCTCATTGAAACGTTACAGTTAATATACATAGTGAATGTTATCCATTATTACATGCTGTATTTACTAACATGCCCTTCAAAGATATTTTGATGAAATAATTACCTGAAGATATAACTGGAGCCGGTTGAATAGGAACGTAAGTTGAAGGACTCATTATATTAGCTACTGAAATACCATCAAAATTAAACAAATCAGTAAGTCGGTCACCACAAAATCTTTTCAATTCAAAGTAGAACACATTAAACTTTATACAATAAGCAACTGGAGTGAGAGAGAGAACTGGTGTTTTAACTAATTTAACGTACACTCAACTAACATAATATGGTACCATTTTATTTCAATGATTTGCTTGTGCAAAAGCAACAGGGTTAGGCAGACAACCCTACGCCTTCACTCCATGTTAAGTACAAGTGTGGGATGGAAATTATCTCAATGACAGACCTTATGATCTAAAGCAAACATGTTAGAACAATCGGCCACCCATCGCGCTATAAGCAACTGGTCATAGTAAACTCAATTGAAAACTAAATGTGGTGCAGGATGGAAGGCCTGGCAGACAACTGCATTTAGTCATTTGGATGGGACAAAAAAACGGTCCATTGTACACAGTGGTGTCATGTCTGGTGCAGTAAACCCATTTTCATCATGTAATCTATGAAAATCGGCAATGTAAAACAATAAAATTGAGTACGAAGAAAAATACTTACATTTTTTATTTTTTATACAATCTAATAAGGAATGTCTTGAGGAAGGTCTATGTATACCATCACTACAACATACTGAAATAAAAAACATCTAGGTCAGGTGTGGTGAGCCAGTGAATAAAAAATTATAAAATTTATGATATGGAACTTAAAGAGGCATCCATATCTGTGTCAAACACTAATATGACTGGAGTCTGTCGATGAAAGAAATGAAATGGAGTTTACGACCGTGGCCTATTCTTGTTTAAAATTTTAACTATCAAGGGTTCTTTTACATGCAAGCCAATGTGTACACCGAACTTTATTTTTTGTCCCATCCAAACGACTATATGACCGATGAAAGAACTGACAATCAAGACTTTGTTTATTATCATGATAATGATACTTGATATTGGGAATATCAACTGTGTGGGTGGGGTTTCCATCTGTAAATTATGTCTTTTTCAAAACTCCAAACATTCATAAATTTGCTCAGAATAAAGTAATTTGAAATTTTCAAAATACTGTATTCATTTTCCATAATCTATTTTTGAACAATTATAACAGGAACGACCAGTTCCTTACCTAAATCCACATAATCTTACATTAAATACAACAAATATAATAACCAGCAGTCTGGTACAATTACAATATTTTAAGAATGTCAGATGTTCAAAAGGTTGCAGGGCATCGAACGCTTAGTCTCCAGGGTGGAGAAAGAACGGAAGAACTATAACAATGAGTCTGTCAGACATAATATCCCACTGACCAAACAAAAGGTAGAGACAATACACACAGTGCAAACAAATCTATTTCACTCATTTATGCAAGCTTTTACTAGTCTATACAAATTAGCATTTTTCAAATTGCAATTCATTCACAATTCCTTGCTGAGAGGAATCTGGGAAGACTTCCCATTCAACAGATATTTAATAACTTTTTTGCTGATAAAGTTTTCGAGGGAAATAGTTTTTTGTCAACACCGTACAACAGTTTGTATGTCCCGTTATAAATTCAAGAACGTGGTTCACATCTTTTAATATCATTAATAATAATATCAACTAATAGCTTACCACTCAAATCACACACAGCATCAACATCAGGTCCAATATATCTAAAAGCTGGTTTACGACCTCGAATCTCTGTTACATGAACTTTACGTATTAAATCAAGACTAGTCAAAATATTGGCTATATCGTACAACCGGCGAATCTTTGCTGAAAAAATAAAATGTTTTCAATTTATGTAAATAACATTATAAAGTGGACTGCTACATGTAAATTTTGTCATTTTTTTGCAATAAAATTGTTTTTAAAAATAAAACAAGATTGATGGAAAGTTACCAGTAAGTAGGACTGATTGAAATTCAATTCAATACCTTCCTGATGATTTAGGCATTAGAAATATGTTGGAATGTCGTAATATAAAAGATTTGAATCCACATATAAATCGCTTCTAAAACGACACTGAAAAAGACAAGATTGAACCCCCATATTAATAAAATAAAACTAACTTTTAAATTTTGAGTTTTCTGTTTTATCTATATTTGGATCACCGATGAGTATTTTTGCAGATATATCTAGATTGACAGTTTTGGGCTGAAAAAACAAAGTATGGTTTATTAGCTGAAATACAGTTAGCTCCCTTGCCCTGTTGTTCTTGGTGTTTTAATGTTTGATACCACCGATGTTGATATCATAGACAAGTTGTCATATTTTCATTTTCATTATCTTAGGGCATGAGGGGTGTCTTTCCTGTGGGAGGAAACCAGGGTACCAGGAGTAAACCAATGAAGCTGAGAAGGCGCCCCTTTCTCCAAACCACATATTCTCACACCTGGGATCAAAACCATGACCGCAAGCCAGAGGTGACAAGCAAGCTAGAGCTTGAAGTGTGACATTCTAGGCCATCCCAACCCCCCTCGCCCTGATAACATTTCTTCATATATACAATATTTACAATGGTAATCAAATTTCATGTCCTAGTTCTTTGCACCAACCAGGCAAATGAACACAGACATCCATGCAGTGTGTGTGCTATGATGGAAAGTTTGCTTGGAAAGTGGCATTTTCACCCACTCTTCATCAAATTCCAAATATAAAAAGTATTTCTAAGTAAACGCCAAAGGGTACACAGATGGACAATTTTTTCCCTTTGCGGGAACTCTGTCCTGCACCACTAACAAGGTGAAAGAGAGACAGAGGAATGGGATTTAACGTCCACTCGACACAAACTAATTCATTTTAAGACTAACATAGTCAATAATTTGCTTGTGCAGTGGGAGGAAACCGGAGGACCCAGAGAAAACCCATGAGGTTGGACAGGCAACCCTACTCTTTGCTACATACAAGCGGAGAACCGAAACCATCCCACTTGACTCAATGACAGACCTTAAACCACAAGACAACTCAACGCCCCTGACAAGGGGGAACCAGTCTGGAAAATCCTGAGGTACTTTAAACGGCCAACAATGATATCAAACACAGGATCTCTTTGTTAGTGAACATGCCTTTCTTCTACAATGGTGATCAACAAATCAAGAGTACTTTATAGGGCTAGTAGCCCCAACACAATATGATAAATATTTGACAATGAGTACAACAAACACTGATAAACAGGAGAAATGTAACACTTGAACTTCAACATCAGTGTTCTGTTTTGTCACCAATGTCTAAATAAGATTGTTTCAAACACAGTACCAGGTATCAAATCTTTGTCACAAATGGACTGTCAGACAAATGATCAATAAACATACACAATTTACAAGAAAATTTGCAATATTCAGGTTTAAAACAGAAAATCACATACCTTTGATATAAGAAACAACATAAGAAATTTCTGACTCATTATACCTAAAGATTTATCTTTTCTCATAAAAGCTGAAAATATATAAAAATAATTTTGATCAGTTTTAGGATATGTCTGAAGAAAAAGGTTTTAGGATGTCATTTTAAACCGTTTGGTGCAGAAAAGTAGAAGGTTAAACCCCATTTTCATTCATTCATTCTTTAGTACACAATAATACTGTAATGTCATTGAGGAATCGGACATCGAGATGCTACTCATCTTGTTGTTCTGGGGGCAATGCTCTTTGAAAAAAGCCTAAGGCTCTGTCAATATAGGGACATGAAACTTGGAATGCTTGATCCTTGTACAACTGCAAAGAAGTCAAAATGCAATGATGGAGGCGACGACGTCATGTTTGGTTTCGGGTCCATATAGTACTATCATACATGTCTGCATTCTAATAGTAATACAATGGGTCTTAACAAATTCAAAAACATAATGAGATGGAAAGTGGGCGATTTTGCCAGGATTGAAATTTTGAAAACAACCACACCTAATTTTATAAACACCAAAGTACCAAAAAATAATATGAGTGTTGTGACTTACTTTTATCTAATAATTCTATATCTCTTGGTGTGTTTAATTCACGGTAAAATTCATGTTCTTTAACTTGTTGTATCTGATCTCCAAATCCTTCTTTTTCTGCCAACATCTAAAAGAATTATAATTTATAAACATTACTTTCTCCCCTTTATCTTTATAAAATTCCATTTCAATTTGTAGGAAAGTACACAAAGAAGTGCAGCTAAAAAATAGTACAATTTTACTACCACTGCACTGGTCACATGCCAGCTTTCGATCGAAACAAAGCCATTTGACTCAATTTCAAACCTTATGGTCTAAAGCACACATATTAAACCATTCGGCCACCCAACACTCCTATGTGAGACAGACCTGAATTATTATAGAAATGCCAAGATAAAGCATGAAGAGAAGAATCTATATGAAAAGGGGACAAAAGCAAGATCTGTGATAGCTAAACTATCTTATTGATTCCTTTGTAAATAGCGTGCGTATACACTATACAGGATGATATTGGTAGAAAAACAAATGAATTGATGCTTTAGGTTTGGTTTAAATTTGGTTTTCTTTTAGCTATTTAATAATTCGACAGAGTATATCCAGCATATTCTTTGTTAATGAACGAAAAATATCATCCAACTTACCTTCAGTTTACCTAAAGTTGTAACTAAATTAGTTTTACCATGCCATGCATATTTATTTTTAGCTATACGACTGACTATTTCTACACTTTCCAAAACATTAACAATATCATAAATTCTTCTCCTCTCAACATCTGAAAAATATAACACAATTTAAATTTAGTTGGGGGGTAAAACTTAAAGCTACTGCATGCATGATATAAATGCACTAAAGTTTGGGTTATAAAAATTAAAATCAAGTCTGACAAATGGCAAATGGCCACAAGCAATGGATTGATATAACAAAAAGCTGGTTGCAAGCTAATCAAAACCATGATCAGTCCTATAGTGCAGGTCTTTTTGCTTGATTAAAAATAGGATAGGTTGCCAGGCAACAAAACATGCCCACAGCAGCTAAATCATCCGAGCAGTCAACAAGGGTTGTCGCATATTTATTCTTTTTTAGGTAATGGGGGAATTTACAAGACAATTTCATACTGATTAGATCATAATTTTTGTTGTTTGCGGGTTTACAAAGTTCTACAAACCGAAACCAGGGCCTTAACTCTGGAAATAATAAACAGAAATGGTTTAAATTAAATTCAGCATTTTTTATTTTATTTTACTAATTCAAATAATACATATTAATATAGACTTCATACAGATCAGATGATAAATTTTTTCATTCGAGCTTTCACAAGGTTCAACAAAGAGAAACAAGGACCATAACTCTAAAAGTAATTAATGGAAATTGCTGAAATTCAATAGCCTTTTTTGTTTCACTAATTTAAATGATGCATTTCAATTTCATGTAGATCGGATGATAAGTTTTGTTGTTCGAGCATTCACATGGTTCAACAAAGAGAACCAAGGGCCATAATTTTAAAAGTATGATCGAAATTGCTAAAATTCAATAGGCGCCTTCTTCTCACTTTTGACTAATGTAAATAACATATATCAATTTCAAAACTAACAGATGATAAATGTTGTCTGTAGAGTGTTCACAACAAATTGTGGACGACGGTCGTGATGGATCAACAGCAATATAACCACATTTCCATATGGGCGTATAAAAACTGTATATGATAACTGAATTTCAAATTATAATCCAAAAAAATTCAGGACTGTACTAAATCCTTTTTATTAACATGAAAACTTTGCAGATTATCATTTTTTTATCTATATCATACATGTTCAGGCATAAAAATAAAATCAGTGTTTACTCTTTTTTAAGCAGAAAATGAGGACCCCCTGCTGTGTCAACCATCCTACATGTATGTGGATCCATCAGGATTAAATCTTTTCCTTCTTTCTATTGACTACTTCTTTTTGTAATGTAAAATTAATGCAAATAATATAAAGAAGATTGAGAGAAAAAATTTTCCTTCAGTGTTCTTAAAACATTTAATTTAATTTTCGACAGCGTGTAGGGTTGCAATAAGGTCTATAATCATACTGTACGTTACGTCAGTAAATTAATCACAGTACATTGGATTTCAGGCCTGACTTATTTAAACTTTAAACACAACCAGAATTTATTACTCACTTAGTTCTCGTGCAACCTCATCCAAACAAACTTCAATATTTCCTTCCGGGTAATCTGGATAGCGCTGTAAAAATCTGTCAATTAAAAAAGTAAATATTATATAAGTAGGCATAGACATGTTTCATCAGTATTCATAGGTTAGTTGAACATTATTTAATGAAAATCATCCATTACATTTTACACTTCAGTATAACTAGAAAGCCGGACAGAAACATCTTGTTCCTAGCCAGTGAGCTTTACTACATTCTGTACTAAGAACGTTTATGTATTGTTCAACTCGAACTGTTTACACCAGAACCTCTCTATATCCGTGTAGGTTGGAGTCCACAGATTTTGTCATGCTCATATGTGGATGTTGGGGTCAACAGATTGGGACCATGTTACAATAAGCCACACTATCTGTTCGAGGATGGGCAAGAGAGTGTATAGTGACATACACCTGCTAGACATTAAAAAGGGCAGATACTGAGATAGGCTATATAAAAAACACAGCTGATAAATTCAATAAATCTGAAATGGAGCCTGAAGACCCAAACTTACTTTTGACAAAGGAGACCAAGTGATTTTTCTTTCCGAGAACCACCAGCTTTCCCAGAATCACTTTCTTGTGATGAGAATATCAAGTCATCTTTATCAATTGAGTTATCTTCTGGTGTTGGTGATTCGTTAATCAATTCTTCCTGTCTCTTCTGATCTTGCATTTTACGAATTTCTGGACTAACAGCACTAAATAACATTTTTAAGTTTGCAGTAGGTGTGAGGGGGGCTGGGGCAATAGAATCAAACTGATCAGTCTCCTTTGTTGGGGTAACAGGGCGACTATTATTATTAGCGTCAAATTCATTTCTATCTAAATGACGACGAGGCTTCGATCGTATGATTTTTGGGCTATTTTCTTTGTCCTTATTTTGAGGTCTCAAACATAGTTTGTTATTAATATCACCATTACGACTGACATTATTATTTGTGTTCCGATTAAATGGTATTCTTTCATTAATGTTTCTGATTTCGTCATCACTATCACCATCTTCTTCAGTTAATGATGCCCGTAGCTTGGCTGACAGGAGTTTCTTTGTAACTTCTGCCATTTCTGGAAATAGAAAATTATAAATTTAATCAGTCTACATAGTAGGAAAATGTTCATGGATATCTTTGAAAATTGAAATAGTTCATTACCGTGAACTAAGTAGGCCTATATTAATGAAAGCAAATTAAAATTCCATGCCATCATCAATAAAACTAACCAGTTAATTTTCAGAATTATAGACAATGTGTAGATTCAACCTTCAGATATGAATTTTAATCAATAGGCCTTATCATGAGTTAATTCAAATTCAAACACATTCATTTTATGTACATTACTTACATTTGACCTAAATTTGAAACTGTAAGTGTAATCAAAGTCAAAATTTAAAATAAAACTATATAAAAATTCAATGAAATAATTCAATATTTTCAGAATAGTTCATAAATTTAATATAGATTAATCCCGGCTTTGGTTGTTTTAGAAAAAGGCAATCTCAATCTCATAATAACGGTTTGTCAACACGCCAAAAAGTCATGACTGTTCAGATTTTTAACGGTTAATGTTAATCCAATTTACCCCAATAAACATTCAAGTACCTTTCAAACTTATGAGAAATAGTTAATTAGGATTCTTGATTAGTGTTGATCACCTACCATTGTTTCACGTAGTGTAGGTTGTATGGTTCTCTAAGTAGCAATCATTTTGGAGGGGGAAAGGCGCGCCCAAAAACATTCACTCCCAGTTACAGTTGAGTGATTACTAGGCTACGGTATTTTGTAAATTTATAGCGGGATTATCCTTTCGATAGCTAATAATATTCCACACTGTCATAAAAACAAGAAGATCTTTTTCAATAATGAAAATAATAAGTAAGAAACCTTCCAAATCTAAAGACGCTGTCATCAGAGGCGGTGTCCCAGTTAGCCAAAATTGAAACTCACAACTTATTCGTGTACACACGTTGTTGTGATTCACTACTGTCAACAACACACCGAAAAAATATTCCAGAATTAACGTTACACAATAGCCGTGAGTCGTGACATATTACTGCAAAGCGAATATAACTATTTCTAGTCATTTTTCGAGATCCAAACCCAGACTTACCGAACTCTAATAAACAAACCCATAAGACACGAAAATCTGCGTTCTGATCTCGTCTGTAAACCTGCACGTTCAAAATTGGCGCGTGATTGTGTTGTACAATGGTGGGCCGGGGAACATGTATAATCAAGTAATTATGTAGGGTGGCAATGTTTACAGTTATTTTTTCACAAGTTGCTGCAAATTTTAACACCAGAACATTGCACATATTGGCTGCCATAAAATTAGTGTCATACTGACCATTTAAAAACATTTCAAATATTTTCGCAATCGAAAGGTAATTAATTAATTATGTCGATGATTCAAACATGTCACTACCAGTTGAGTTTCCATAGGTGTTATCAACAACAACAATATAATGAACATTTTATACAAATATTTTCTTTCTTTTTTTTTAACAGTATCGCTAGTAAAGGATAGAATTCAATTTTAAATTATAGATACGGTAAATAACATTAAAACACCGTAAAATAAATTCCATTTCATAGAATGTGATAAAACATGAATCTGTAGATATCTATTAAATTATCTTTCAGAGGCGACCTTTACAAAAAAAAAATATATGGTATTATAATTATTAGATTATTTTCAAAAATAAAAGTAATTTAAAACAGTATACTATGTAGTCTGACACAAAATTAAAATATATTACAAATAATTACCTTAAAAATATTGCCGGGAAATTACTCCTTTGGTTTATGTGTAAATAAAAGCAGAATGATTCAGGGTGATCCACATACCATGTCGATATATTGAAAGGTACCAATAAATTCCAATTAAACGATGGACAATATTGAACACGAATTCGAATTTTAACAAAATATTTCAAATTCAACCGCTTGTCCGGTACTTTTCAATGGTTTCTCAAAAAAAAAATTTGACTTAAGAAATCACTTTTCAGCTGATATTTGGCGCGGGATAGGTTGACACACCCCCTTTGGAATAACCAATGAAATCGAAATGATCTGTTTTGGTTTACGTTGATCTTCTTTATTAGCCAATCAAACTATGTGAACCTGGAAAGGTTATAGTTCAATGGGTTGCAGCATGTCTGGACGTCTTGTGTGTAGATTAATAAGTAATCGGTATTGAAACATGTCTATACGTAACGTGTGATTGAGCATTAGTGTTCAGATCCAAATAAAAACGCATATAATCGATAGGCACGATCAAAAACCGAATTGCTACTATATCAGTTAATTTCTACACAGAAAGAAAATTACTGGCAAATAATCATAACAGAAACCCAGTTTCAATAACCGCGTGTTCAATATAAACAGAAATTGACACGTAGTCCAGATCATTTGGTGATAATTATAACGGTTGTGCAGGGCAATATGATCTGTAATCACTTCCACTATCATGCACAAGAAAATCACTCGGTTGATTAAGCATTCAATATATCATGAGCGATCTTCTAGAAAATAACTGATATTGACTGAAAATATAGAACAGTTAATTATAACAGTAAAAGAAAATGGTTGGCAGGTAATAGCCACAACAATATTTTTTTAGAGTTGATTATTTTATTAACAGGTACGGATGCAACTGTGTTCCAAATAAATTCCTACAATTCCATTTTTAAAGGGTGGCTCTTTCTTTCGAACCGCCGATTTAAAAAAAAAAATAAAATTGTAATATACCATATTCCGGGTGACGTTTTTTCTTGACAGTTATTCTCTGACTATGAATTTTATCAACTGTCATAATTAAACAAAAAATTATATAAATAGGTGTTACATTTTCTAAAATGTGTGTTATGCAATGGAATATTAAATATAACAACTGACATTATCTCTATAAGAAATCATAATAACTTTTAATCACACCACAAATGTGTTGAAATGTAAAAACGAAAACAAGAAGCTGTAAAATTAGCGAAATCTTAATCTGTATCTGCTGTTGCACCCCTTTATCTAACACCATCACGGACGAAGGAAGAGATAAAATTTGACATCCGTTATTAATTTGGCGGGACTATTAACTCCCGCGTTGCTTATCTAACACATATTCCCGCCACAAATTCTGGACATAACGTTGGAAACAGAAGCCGATTGCAATGATCATAAAACGATTCACTTGCTTTTCCCACACTAATGGGCATTTTATTAACTTCAACTTCATCTGCATAATTTATTTCTTATAGTACTCTCTGACTCACGTTTCATCGCGTGCATCACAACACGCGCAGTCAAGCACGCGCCAATGATTGGCAGGGATACTTTGTTGTGAGGGAATGTCGAGGCCATGTGTTGTATTAATGCCGAATCGAACACAATCACCCACAACAGATGTTGTATACCACTATTCTCATGTTATTATTTGAAAGTTTTATATATATGTCATAAAAATTCGACAGGATTATTAAGTGCGTGATTCTCGTGGAATACTATACCGTGGATTAAACAGACACGTTCATTAGAGTCTATAGAATGTGTCTAAAAATAGCCATTGTGACAGGATTTCCCGGAGTATTTCGATGAGGACAATTGTTTTTGATGGCGGGTAAACAGAAAGATGACGCTAAAGCCACGTGCTACAGCGTCGAAGAGACCATTAAGGTAGGTCTTAATTACTTATACTTGGCGGCAAGTGATCAAAGACGCCAATAAATACGACGATTGATTGAAGTTGTACTTTCTAATTATTAAAGATCACCCGCTGAGCCATCTTTCACACCAGTGTTGGTGACAATACCTGTGCTAATCCTCGGTGCAATACCTTTATGTTATGGCGATTCCCCAGTTTCATTTATTAGAAACAATACTCTTGTCCCGGTTATCCTTTTATAAGGTTTTAATTACCCCCCAATAACACTCATCTTCGGGCATCTGCGAACCTAAAGTATTAAATAATATCCAAAGAAAGTTATCAAGTCTCCCAAAAAATCCCTTTGATGTTTTTGATGCAGACTCATTAGCAGAATAATAATACATATAACAGTATTTATACCAATCATAGAGATTTATGGCTGCAGTGTTCTATTATTTCTTTTAAACAAAGTCATAAATACAATTGACATAATTCTTGAAAGTTAATTAAAGATATCTAAAAGCTTTGAAGTTTAATTAAAAAAAAAAAGAATTTTAGAAGGATTTTATTTTTTTATTCACTTAATAGTCCATCAGTAGAAGTACATTAGGCCATTGCATGCAATACACAGATTTATATCTGGTCCTAGTAATTGATCTTTTAAATATACAGAAAGGTAATTGACAATAACTTGGTTACTGATACATTTATCTTCTGTGGTTGTCAGTGGTTTCCAATAAACCTATAGATGCTTATATTGGTAATAACACTTTCAAAGACAAGTAATAAGATCTAGGTTTGATACATGAGGAGATAAATTTATAGTACTAGTATCAATGTATTACTGTACAGTATTCTACTGATCACATTAATCTTTCTATGTTGTTTTGACCGAGAACAGATATATACAGCAATTTTGAAAAGCAGGTTTACATCTAGTACTGGATAATAATAATTTCACAGCCAGCTAATCTCTGATACATGAGTACTCATGCTGATCATTCAAGCCTGGAAGTAAGGTACCTGTCACAGACATTGTCAGACATAGATTCAGGCTTTTCAGGCACAAAACCTCTGGTGCCTGTCATTTTGGCCGGCACCGATTTGTCTTTTTTTATTGATATTATTAATACATGTCCGACACTAAGTTGAAAATGTCAGGTACTCATTTTGTCAGGTACATCTAAAACTGTTATTTCCCCAGGCCTACTGATCAGTACTACAGTAATAAGTCTTTTGGTGTTTATTAATTTTAAAAGAAATATACTGCCATAGATTTCTTCATGAATCGGAGCCATGGTGGCTAGGTAGTTAACACACTGGCTCGCTAGCCTGGAGGTTGGATGTTCGATCCCTGCATTGGCTGTGAAAGTTCATCGAGATTTTCGACGTGGTTTCCCCTTGTCAGTGGTGCAGAACGAAGGGCCTGACAAGGACAGCTGTCTAGTCCTTCGAATGATACGAAAAACCAAGGTCCCATGTATACATTGGAATGCACGTAAAGATCCCTTGGCAGTTGGAATTCGATATAAGAGTAGGCGATAGTGCTGCTGCCCGAGCAAAATTTCCCTCATAGCACACTGTATGGTGTATGCCCGTCTTCATTAGCTCAGTATAGGAGCAGAACAGTAGGATGTTAAACCCCATTTCATTTCATTTCACTTCTTCATGAATCAAATTTTGGCAGCACAATTCCCTATATTCCCCCATCAGGTTCAACCCCTGTTGATCAGTCAGTAACAGTAATAATTCTCTGGTGTTTAATAATTTTAAAAGAAATATACTGCCATCAGGATCGGATTAAGCTTGCATGGGGCCCCAATTGAAAACGTTCCTGGGACCCTTACATCAACAGTAGAAAAGTACCATATTCCGATGCATGCCCCTTGGTTGCCTTTCCTTAGCTGTGAAAAAAGTGTATGTCCCCGTTGCTAAAGTCTACCGTAATATGACATACTGATTTATGGTACAGTATTTTAAGAACTGATTTCGGTCCTCTTTAATATTGGGTTCCTTAATATTGGGGCCCCTTTCTGCAGCCCAGTCAGCCCCCCCCCACCCCCCAAAAAAACTTAATCCGATCCTGACTGCCATAGATTTACTTTATGAATAAAATAACAGCTTCGTTTTAGTTAGATTTTGTAATTGTGGCTGATAAAATCAACAAGTGTTGAGTTACAAGGATTTTTGTAATAATGTGATATTATCCTGATATTGAGAACTGTATGTAAGAGATAGTGATGGTGAAGTGGCACCACAGGTAAAGCTGAACCACATGAAGTCGCCTGATACCAGCTTAAAATAACTAATGTCTATATTAACTAAAATAATACAAACAGCTTAAAGATACGAATATAGAACATATACAGATGTATAATCTGCATACAGAAGACATATTTTTATTACAAAGGATTGAATGATCTTTCATTTAAAAGAAAATATGATCTAAATCAGAGCATGTGACGAAGAGAAAAGGAATAAAACTAGGTTTGGAGTTGCTGACTGAAGTTTTAGTTGAGGATGGGGAGGAGACAGATTGGCTTGGGATGCCTTGCGGTAAGAAAGAAGAAACATTTCAAAGATGGGTTTAATGTCAATTCAAATCTTACTAAAAATCTATGAGGTTAAACAGCTCATGATCCTACTGATTGCATTGATAACCGAACTGTGATCTGCAGCAGATAACTTTGAGACCATTCGGCAACCATCCCATCTACCTTCTTATAAGTATGTTCACATCTATTAGTGGCATCAAGAGTCAATCAAACTAAAGATTCATTTCTGAAAGATTTAGGCCAAGTGACCATTTATATTTAAACTCCTTATACAAGCCTTGCCCCTTGAACACTGCCTCATACACATTCAAGGTTCCTCTTGGTAACAATTACTTTCTTTTTATAAGAATTTCAGTGATGTTGAGATTGGTCTTTACTTCTAAATCTAACTACCCATGCATACATGAATCTGAATCAAAATTGTAAGACCGTAAAAATTATGATTCATGCAACTGTTGTCATGAAGGGATATTTAAAATGTTTATAACAACTGTTGTTTATCATAAAATCAAAACAGTTCTTCCATTATTGAAATATTGATTTAGAAACATTACAAAAGAAAAGGAAGAAACCCATCAGACTACCACCATACCCTATTCAATAACGTCTCTTGCATTGCTATCGTGCATGCATGACATCAACTCAAATAAAGGGATTCACTTTGAACAGTGGCCATACAATATTATCAAATTATTCTCCTGAACAATTAAAAGCAACGTGTATCAGCAGAGCCGATGATGTAATGAAGGTGTATTTT